ACCTTTCCAAGGCCTAACACATTACCTTGTAGCAACCGCTCCTCTGACAAGGTCCCACGAGATACCCCGTACAAGGTGATGGGCGTGCAGCAGGATCATGAGGGGTAACCCCAGCAAGGCCTAGCACCTTGCGAGGGTCCACGTGTTCACCTTGTTTACTTCACGACCCTGTCAGGGCATCACCGAGAATACCGGACAGGGTGTCGGGCATGTACAAGGTAAACGCCATGGACCCCACCAATGGACAACACCTTACCAAGGTCCAGGCTCTGACGTTGGCATCGCTCCGAACCCTGTACAACCCCCCCACAGGGTGCCTGCAGGGTTAAACCCCCTGCCAAGGGTCCCCCAGGGGTAGCCGAGTGGCCACCGGTGAATTGATGCGTCTTCACAAACCTATCGACGAGAAGGTGAACGCCACCATTTCGGGCACCTTGGTTCGTGCGACAGAGGTGGCAGAGCGTGGTGGGGCGAGTTGCGGGCTGTGGAGAATCGGGTATGGTGTGTAGCTATGAAGACCTAAACGGTACATACAGGTTCGGCGAACGACTTTTCTTGCATAGTATTGTAGCCTACTTTCGTACCGCAGCACTACAAATGTAAGAAAGGACTCAAGTTACCATGTACTGTATACCTAAACTTTCGGATAACAAACTGTTGTCTACCCTCGTCGAGATGTGCATGTTTCGTCATCGCCGCTTACGACACACGCACCATACATTCAGGTTTTCAGGTACGATAATACGTGTAGCACTACGTTTGTGTTTGTTCCGTCCCATCCAATCTGGCACCAGAGTCTACGATACACCGGTCGGTTTGACGTATCAGCCGGGGTAACCCAGGCGGAACACACGGGACGCCTGGTAGAAATGGTTGTATATTACTCTCCCACCTTCCCTCCTGGGGTGCTTGCCCAACGCTGTGCAGTGGTTTTCATTACGAGAAGGGTTCAGCCGTCCCTTACCCTCGTCGACAGTCAAGTTGACTTGAATATACATACGAAGTCAAGTTTTCACTCCAAAGAGGGAATATCGAATGCACCACCTGCTGTCCGTACGTTTTCGAGGTTACCCACTACACCAACGATGCGAAATATGTACATTGTTTGGTTGCCATGAATACCTATCATCAACCTACCACGGATTTTTCAGAAGCATCACGCGTCAGCGAAAACGCGTCAACGTACCAAAGTACTCTCGCGACCCCCCGACAACATTCCCCCACGACAATACCCACGAAAACATCAAATCTTGGCCTTGACAGCCTCGGGTATCTGCAGCCCCGTCGGTACCGTCTGCACCACCTTCTCGAGCTGTACGAGATCGACCACGCGAGGAGCGCCCGGGTTGCTTTCTTCTCCTCCCCCTACCTGCAGCGTAAGAAAGTATACGTACAACCACAGAGAGACCACCCGTTCGAGATATAACTACAACCACAGCAGTAGTCGAAGGAGATGTGTTGTTTTAGGCCAATTCCAAGAAGCATATTTCCGATGTGAGTGCCTTGTTGGGTGTTTTCTTCAGGTGTGGCACATTTTATTGTGAACATGTGAATCTAGATTTTTTTGTCGTGCATACCCCTTGGTTCATCAAAAGCAACCTGCCAACGGCATGACTGAACTCAACCCTCACCCAGGAGCTAACATTCCCTCCAGTAGGGTTGTTCAAAATCCCAACCCCAAGATTCGACGGGACACTCTCGTGTTCGAGTGAAGTGCAGTTGACGATGGAACTCTTCCGTTGTCTTCGACGTTGCTATTCATTGGCAATTCATGTCCAAAAAGCTGAACAAAGAGTTCGTAGATTTCTGGGTGTGACTGCAGTTGCTTCACGAGAAAGTCTCGGCGAAATCGTCAGTGCAGGTCCTATGTAGAGACTGTGAGGTGGTCTTCTTCGTTGGTGATAACGACGAGCAAGGGCCGTTAAATACACTGGCAACCATCATTTTCTGGTATCCCATTACATGTTCAACTGGGAGGAGCAGTGCACTGCATTATCATGGTGTTCAAGAAAATGCAGAGAGAGACCGTTTTTCTTGCCTATGGGAGAGACCCGATAGATGTAGGCGCAGCATTCAGTTCATATGCCTCGGACTTTGAGGTGACTCGAGTTTGCTTTGCCCGAGAAAACGTGCCGCTCGACAGTTGTTTGTGAACCTATTCGTGGAAACCACAAGCGACCATCTTCATTTGTCGTTTGAAAATGTTACGACGATGGTAATTGACAAAACGTGGCACAGACGTACAATGTTTGAATCCTACTACTGCGAGTGGTGTTCTGCGAAGGGACATGCAAGATATGTACGGGCGTTCATGAACAGTCATGGAAATCCGCAGATGTTCCTATCAATTCTCCGGCGGAATTCAAGTAACCTGTCGTAATAGAAAATACTGTAAATAGTTTATTTACGCCTGATCGTCACCCCACGGCCAACCGACGCCCTGGTGGCCGAGAGCTTGGCGAGAACGCGGCGCAGCCGAACTCTCGGAGTGCGGAAACAGAGAGAGAGGGCGATGGAGAGAAAAAGACCGCTCGACCAATCAGAGGGCGTGGCACCCTTAGAAAGAAGTCGCTCTGGCAGACCGAAATAACTATTGCAAATGTTACGATGCCTGGAAAACCTCCAACCTCTATACTTCCCTCTAACGGTGCCCCTCAAAATCGGCACCCCCACCATAAAATCAGGCGGTTCAACCTCGTGTAGGGTTAATCTACGTCACGGCGAATACCCACCATATTGCACTTCGGTTCTGACTTTTCCGTCAAAAGCATGAAACCCCCATTTCGCATGCGAGAAACAGCTTGCTGTCTAAATCTGATATTCCGGCGGGAGGTACCTCGGCTTCCACTTGCAGCACGCGCCTTCGCCAATAAACTACTCCTTGGCTACCCACCTACACACAGCACTGGCCAGTCTTGAACTGGCGCGTGGTGCCTACCTCCCAAACGTACCGTAAAATGCTCTACCGTACCAGTTGCGCTGTCTTTGATTCTGAAACTGCTGGGGCGTGTGCCCGCTTTTTTCCGTCCTCGTCTTTCCGACACCTCGTAAAAAAAGTCCGACAACAAACGTCAGAGGAAAGCCTCGACGCGAGCAAAATCCCGGCTGGGAGGAACTCCCTCCAGCCTGCCCGTGGTTTTGAGTCAACCACCCCCCCCATGTACCGGTCAACGCTAGATACACCTTGACGCATGTTCGTCTCCCGCATCCTACGACACCTAGCCCGGCATGCATTACGAGGCCTCAAAACGTCGGGCCTCCGCAAGCAACCCTAGTGGGAGGCATGCACTTCTCTCCCAAGGCCTTCGGAAAAACTGTTTCCGCCGCTCCTCCGGCCGGCACGTCCAACATCTACCAACAACGTGGAGAGACTGGCGACAGAAGAGGACAAACGGGACGAAGAACACACGCACGCCTCTATCATAGACAGCAGCGAACCTCCGGGCCCTCGTAGGAACCTTACCCTCAAGTCTAAGCTCGTAGTAACAATCCTCAAAGCCAACGGACTAGACCTCGACGTTGGTCATCTTGGCCTTCCTGTCGACGCGCTTCAAGATGCCGGCGACCACCTTGCCGGGCCCGCACTCGTAGCCGTACTCGAAGCCCTTCCCCATCACGTTGGCCAGGCTCTGCTCGAACTGCACCGGGTTGGTCACCTGACCGGGGGGGGCGCCGCCACGCCACACGGACGGCCAAGGGGCCGAGAGTTGGTGCGGTGTGGCGGGAGAATGAACATGATTGCTGGTTTGTACCTACTCCTTCGCTACTTTACAGCCGATGCGACCGTCACGCCGTGAGCAAACGACAAGTGTGTGCCAACGCGAGCGCGTCAATTTTTCCGGTGCACTCTACAATTGATAGGTATATTTTCCGTGTTCGATATTTCGACCATGCAGCGGCGTGAAAAGGAGAGACGGCCAGCGTCTGCAAGGGAGGATTTAGGACCATCTCTGTCTGTCTCTGCCTCTCTCGCTCGTCGATGGAAGCATTCCGTTAACAATTTCTCGAGATTGGCAATCTCCTGGTGTTGTTGGAGAACAAAGAGCCGCAGAAAGCTGCCTGTCGTCAAACAGTACTCCGACATCGCACATGCTCCACACGACGCAGCACGACACCCGCCAAGACGAGGCTCGGCCAAACACACGCGACAAAAATCCGACTCGTCTCGAAACACGTGCAAAACCCTTGCTTCCTACCAAAACCGCACCTGCTTCTTGAGAATGTCCTTGATGACAGCCGGGTCCGAGTGCGGCTCGGCGTCAACGTTGGACACCACCGGTATCCGTGGCTTCTTCACTTCGATAGAGTCCAGCACCGCACCCAACTGCAACACGAGGCCGCCGCCCCGCCGACCAAGACAAGAGGGTGAGAAAACAAGAAAAGCGTGAAGCGTGCGGCGTCACCAAGTTGCCGCCAACGTGGGCCACGGTGTACCAGTACATGTCTATGCAGGTGCACTGTCCGCAGGTGCACTGTCCCGCAGGTGCAGCAGCTGTGAGGAGAAAATCGCGATACCACCCCCCGACTCGAAACCTCACCGTGGCGATCATCCCGTTCTGGTTGTATTTTTCGAGGTCAACAGTTCTCGACCGGGAAGAGGCACGACCTTAGTAACGCCAACCGCCGCACCTTATCCACGGCCGCCTCCATGAAGTCGGTATGGAAGGCCCCCGCCACCGCGAGCCTGACGGTCATGCGCGCCTTGAAGTCCGGCTTGGCGATCTGCTCCACGACGTCGCACGCCTTCGAGGAACCCGACACCGCGTAGTTCCCGTTGCACAGGAAGTTGGCGACCTGCGCGCGCCGTTGCGGTGGTGGTGGTGGCGGTGGTCGCGTTGTAAGTCGGGAAGCAGAGTCGTGCCGCGCGAAAACACGCGGCAGACGACGGGCGACGAGAGAGCAGGAGCAAAAGCACCGGCAGAGAAGTCCTCCACGACAGGACTATTCAATTAAATCAAAAGAAGAAAAAACAACGCCTTCTTGGCAGGGGGCAGAGGCACCAACTAAGGACTTGCTTCTCTCAGACCCAAAATCCGTGCGCGACCAAAATGATGGGCGACTTGTAAGTACAGGCGCAATCTCAAGTAACGAGAGACGTACTGCCTTATACCCGAAAGCCATACAACCCAACACTCATAACATATCGCACGCACGACTATTCCTAGAGCCTTGTCGGAAGCAGGCCGCAGGGGTCATGACACAAGAAAGATTATCCGTGTAGGAAGACTGCGTTACAAATCTACGTCAGGAATCGCTATCAAAAACGTTATCGGCACGGAGGGGGAGATAGAGGAGCGAGGCAATGCTCGAGAACGAGACCGCCAGGCACACATTCCAGACGCCGCGCAGGCTCGAAGTTGTTTCGCAAAACAAAATCTTAGCAATGGACGAGAAGAGAGGGAGAGGGGGGAGGGTAAGCCAGGGAGGCGCTTCACAATCTCTACCATACAGCCGGATTTGTGCGTTTTCGTGTGTGTCGACCTCAAAATGCCACTGATACAGTAAACAGCGATAGGGCACGTATACCTCTGTTGTTCTTGATGGAGGAACAAACGAACGCACCCATTTACCTCAAGCGCTTGGTCGCGGGCATGTTGATTGTGTCCGCAAAAGCGCTAAATACAGCAATAACAAAGAAAAAAAGCACAGCTCGCTGTTGAAAAAATATGTGGGCCTAAAAGAGTACCAACACACTATTTGGGACTAAAACTTGCATACCTGCACTGGCTCCCCCGACTCCTTGGCAGCAGCGTCGCAGATTTCTTGCACCTTGTCCGACTTGAGGCCGATGACGCTAACCATGGACCCGTCCGTCGCGTCCGACGCCGCCTGCATCGCCTCCCCCCTACAGCAGCACATTGCACGAAAACCGCAAACAAATCAGGCACAAGTGCATGCATGCGGAAGGCGGCGGAGAAAAAATAGGAGTCCGCATCATCACGGAGAGAGTTTTCCACAGAGCGACGCGAATCATTGTCAGAGAGAAAGACATGCTGGCACGCACACGCACTCGAAAGGAGTTCGTGCGGCACTAAACCGTCAGTACTGCAGTCCCTTAGTTCACGGTTCTGTATGGTGATCTTTCCGAGAACGCGCTGAACCCCGAGACCAACATTACGCTCTTCATTCTCGTCTCCGTCGCTCCCGTGTCAGAGAATCCCGTGGATCAACAAGCCATCCACACTTTTGTTTTTCGCCCCGGAAAAAAACGAACGTCTATTCCTTCACAAGCCGGCGAGCTCGGTGGACGCTACAACGAAACGAAACCGAAAACACAAACACGCCACCCGCCCCGCCAACACAGACGGGAGAAACCAAAGGATGATGCCTATCGGATCACGTGGGACGTTTCGGGTCACGTCGGATGAGATGAGATGACGCCCTTTCTCTGTACGTCTCCTGCTGTAATCAAGCTCAAGCCTAATTCTGCTGTATCGCTCTCTCTCTCTCTCTCTCTCTCTCTCTCTCTCTCTCTCTCTCTCTCTCTCTGCTTCGAGCCGCCCGTCCAGGCCAGGCAACAAACAACGGTAGTGGTGGTCCCCATATACCGCGCTGTAGTGACAAGCAAAAAAACAAAAAGGAAACCGCGGTATATCGCGACCCCGCACTATGGAGCGTTGGGGGAATATATGGGTGTTGTATGGAAGCCAAATCCCGAGACAAGCGATTGTTACCGCGGTTTATTGGGACCCGCACTACTCGGGACTGCGGTACGGTGTACCGGACCACCACTGTGTGGCGAACGTGTGTGTGGAACAAAAAAAAATAAAACGGGCCTCGGACAATTTCCCCGGCAAAGAGGAGCCCGTGCTGACGACACCGGCGTGCCCTGATCCAACGCCAACACACACGCACACGCATTCTTGTTCTGTTTTCAGTCGCACTTCAGACTGGCGCCTTTTCTTTGGTCAGCCGAGATAGTTAGCCGGGTCGACGCAAACAATTCATAACAATTAGCGGACACAGAAGTATACTTATAAAGCAATTCCGGTCATTACCTAGGTACTGTTGTTTACGGCAGACCAATACTAAATGAATGGACATTTGAGTCGCAATAGGCGCACATACCCATTCACACTTTATGAGCCCTCTCTGTTGTGAAGCCACCAAGGCTAACGTCTTTTGATTGGTCAGACCGTACCACGCAAACAAACAATAACGACGCAAGAAAAAAATAACAACACACAGACGCACAAAAACAGACACACAGTAGAATCAGACGCACCTCGCCTTGGTCACCCTGACACCGTCCTCGAAGGACAGCGCCCCCGCGAAGCAGAGCGCCGAGTACTCCCCGAGGCTCAGCCCCATGGCGCACGTGGCCGCGTCCAGCGCCTCGTCGCCCTCGTCCGACCTCAGCTTCTCCACCGCCGCCATGGAGCACACGAAGATGGCCGGTTGGCTCACCTCCTGCAGGGCGTACGAGGAGCAAGAGCCACGGCACAAACAAAAGAAAAAGCGCATCTGAGAACTGCTGCTGCTGTAGTCTAGAGACCGCAGCGTGCGGCCTGGGAAACGCGATGGTGTCCGTTCTGGGCCCGGGGTCTCGTTACACGTTTTCGGTACTGCTTGTTTCTTTCACCCAGTTGCAAGCAACGAGGCAAGCAACCACGCAACCAACTAACCAAGCAGGCAGGCAAGCAGGCAGTCAGGCAAGCAGGCAAGCAGGCAAGCAGGCAAGCACATTACCCGTCTCCGCTTTCTCACCGTCGAGTCGAGAACGTTCTTCGGACCGTTCTTGCACTTGTCTAGCAAGTCGTACCCCAAGATGGTGCTGGCCTTCTCGAACAGCTCCTTCGCCTTTGGCACCTGGCAAAAATAAAATAAAAATCGTGTTGTGAAACCGAGCCAATATTTCCGCCACATCACCACGGGAACCAAAGACGAGATCACGGAACGACCAAATCAGTCCGTGAAACATGAAAAACACGAGAGCGAGACACATGACATATCACCAAGTTGCTATCGTACGGCGTGAGCGTGTGATTCTCGCGGGAACATGACCGCAGAGCGAAAAATATTGCCACCCCAAAACATCCGCGGCGACACGTTCTCGAAGACAATCGAGGCCGGAGTTTTTCGACCTCAGGCCCGAGCCAAGCATGCTGCAGACCGGACCAAGAGATTGCACAGCTCTCACACAGCAATATCTACTGTGGCAGCGGTTCTTGGATTCCCCGCAGATAGACAAGAAGTGCGCACCCAAAGGAAATACGGACATAGTTCGTGTAGGTCTACCTCTCTGTCAATGCAGGCTACACCTGCTTCGTCTGCGAGTGCCCTATCTTACGTTAGAATAGGGGACGTGCGGCCATCCTTATTCTCTTGACAGTAGCAGGGAGGGCGGGAAGGGCGGAGTAGACGACCAAGGTACCGGGGAAGCTGCAGCGCAGATAATCTACAACAAAACGGCCCTCGCCGTTCATGGACGGGACGGACTGACCTCGTCGCAGATGCCCGCCGCCATTCCCATGTACTGGGCTCCCTGCCCGGGGAACATGAAGGTGACCTTGCTGTCGTATTCTGCGAAGTCGGTGTCCGACATGCGCATGCCGGAGCCGCGGCTAGAGACGCCTCTTGCTGCCAATGCGAAACGGCAGCAACAGCAGGAATCACGAGGGAATCCGGGCGTGAAGAGCAGGCAGTTGTATGGATGATTGAGAGGGCGTCACCTATCAGCAGCACCAGCAACGTCAACAGCACCAGCAAGAGCAATGGCAATAACAAGGTCGGCAGGATGGAGAGTTCAGGAGCCAAAATCAAACCGTGGATCAGAGATAGAAGTACACGACACCGCTCAAAAGATCGCGGTTGGGATTCATCCGCACTTTACTCATCAATTTGTCGGAGCTTCCGCATGTAACGTAGGACGCGCATCGTTGAGTGGAGATACTGCTGGTGGCGTCGTTCTCCTGGTGGCCACACGGTTGGAAGGTATACTTCTCAACATTGTAACAAAAAAACGACGTTGACAACCGTCTTGTTTGTGCACACATGCAGCAGCGACCAGCGCAAAAAAAAAAAATGGAAGATCGGCCGCACTGCTGCTGCTTTACACTCATACCCTCGCATCACCGCGGGTAACATGTTGGGTGTCGAGAGACGTATAGGTGAAACCACGGACAATATTTGTAAGGCTGCCTCAGAACACCTCTGAAGACCAAATCAGCCCTCTCTCAGAAGCAGTGTGGCCTACAACGTACCGCTCCATCCCACCAATCACCCGCGGCCTATATATGAGTCGAGGCTGGATTGCACATGGACAACATGACTGCTGCTGTACCGCGCGGGCGGGGTCTCTGTATGCGCTGTTCGCTCAGCAGCGCTGTTGGCAAATTCCCGCTTCGCGTGTCCTTTCGAAGAAGCGTTCTGTGAGCGAATCGTGCTAGAAGCACAGCACCCAGCAGTACTTTCTTCCAGAGGAAGAATCCCTGTGCCTGAGGATCATAGCCCCAGACCCTCTGCGTGGTTGGTCAAGATCCTCTGTGCAAAGAGCGCATTACAGCGGCACATAGCACCGATGTCTTACAAAGCAGGGGAATCGCCTCTCAGCATGGATTGACCATCATTGCCCTGCTAGGACCACCCCGAACATGTCCATAGCGGCAACAGCAGCAACGGCAAGCTCAGCTCCGCCGTTGGTGCTAGACATGCTATGTAGCGAACAACCGCTGTCATCTCACCATGCGTCTCAACGGCTCAAACTGCAGCTGCACACCCTCGCTGCCGCCGCGTGTGTGTGAACATGCGCCCCGGCAGCAGCGTTTTTCGATGCACAGCAGCAGAGAACAATCCAACCTCCACTCGCACGCAGCAGAGCGGCAACTCTCTGTGCTCTCAAAGCAACAACGACCGCATGTGGCGTGATAGCAGTGCACTGATGTTGCCGAGGATACAGGGGTTATACGCTAACCCCTGCACCGCCTCCGTGTCCCGCTCCTATATGCACACACGCCAAAAAACAATACCTGCTGCTCTCGCCGCTACCCTGCTCGAGCTTTGCCGACCAACCGCACCAAGCGTCCCCACGAACGCCGCCGTCCGGCTGCATACTCCGAGCATTGCGGTGGCCGCGAGCAGCGTGCTTGGCGTCATGCTTTCTTTCCTGCGCGTCCTCTCACCGCCGTCCGCTGCCTCTCGAAATCCGATGCAGGATGTGAGATGGAAGAGAGTCACCCGTGGTGCCGGGGGGCACAAAGACGAGGCTACTGTACATGATTTACCCCACCCACACATGGCAAAGAGGGGGCACCGTGATAAAAAATCATGAAACCGTGGGTGGTGGTTGCGGTTGACTGTTGATTGGTTTGAACGTTTGAACACTGACGTCTACATGTGTATCTCGCCACAGCTTGGCCTTAGGAAGCAGCACAGCGGTCGCGCGTAGGCGAGTAGTCGGGCCGAGCAAAGGAAAGTGCTGTGCGGTGGTGAGGGCCTGGTGTTGGATGCACTCCCGCTGTTTGTCTTGGCTGCGTTGTTTGGATGTACCGACAAACAAACGCCGTTGTCGACTCGGTAAAAGTCACTCCCAAGTAAATGGTGGCGGGTACAATCTCTGCCCCCATCCCTCTCTCGTTTACAGTTTACAGAGCGAAGATTCAGCCATGGGCAATATGGACATTGCGGGAGTTGAACGGAATCGTCCAGCAGAGTGCGAAATGCGAAAGTTTCCTTTGTGACTACTTCGAAGTATTGAATACAAATGCGGAACGCAAGCCTACATATCTATCTCTCTCTGTACATATCTACATACATTTGTACACAGACAGCTTTGCAATACATACCACAGCAGTACGTACTTATTATTTTCAAATCTATAGACTATATTTCGAAATGGGTGGCTGCCTTGCTGTTTAGCGTGCCATTGCTTGCAACTGAACTGTGATTCGAAGGTACATATACTGTAGAGAGAAAGCTCTGCTACTGCTGCAATATGGTAAGTATAGACTAATACTGTGGCTGGGGTTGAAGAGGTGCAAAATCCAGCCTGACCATCGCTGCAATTTCTCCGATAACACGGTACCGTGCACCCCTTTCCACTGTCTTTCCAGTCCTTGAGGAAGGCCCGTGCGATCTCCACACAGACGTCCGCGGTCGCACGCCTTGTACGCCATGTCTTCCAAGGTAGTCCCCACGACAATCACTACAACTCCTGGAGAGAGCGGCGATCTCACAAAGGAGAGAATGAGCTCGCGATCGCTCGAAAGACTTCTAAGCTCTGTGGAGGGCAGCACCGTGTTACCGTCCCTTCCTCAATCCCCCCTGGCTTCTTGGAGAGCCAGCGAGGTCCTCTCAGAACCGGACGCAGCCGATGGGAATGCATCGGAGACAGGGCTTGGGCTGGGGTTGCCAACAGCGAGTGGTGAAGGGGCTGGGGTATCGCTATCTAGCTTGGCATCTACGGCCACGCCACAAGAACGTTATCAACGGGAGGCTGGCCATTCTACACGGGGGATCTCGATCGGTGATGGTCACCGTATGGGCTCTTCCCTACCAAAGGTGGTTGCACGTGGTTCGGGGAGGCACCAACTCAGTTCGCCACCGGTCAGCGCTGCGGGGAACTCGGCGGTGAAGCTCAGCACATTAGTCTCGGCACCAGGACCGTCGTCATCAGAGCAAGCGGCAGCAACAGGGGTAGTGACATCCTCCGGTGGGAAGGCTGACGCCGTTGCTTCTGCAATGTTGTCGCAAGCAGCGTTATTGAAGGCGTCAGGCGCAATCGGCCGTGGCAAAGAGTGTGAGGTGGCAGACGCAAAGGGAGAGGGACGAGATAAGCGGACTCATCTCCAGCTGCAGACCGTGGCCATGCTTCCTATTTTAGCGAGGCCGCACGTGGCGTCCTACGCCGAGGAACACAACCAAGACATTTCCGCAGAAATCAACTCTCTGTCAACGGTGCGGTGAAGCCCTGAAGTCGCACGTCAACGGCACCCGTAGGAAAATGTTCCTTTTCCTACGCCATTTGAAGAAAGCAACGGTGTTTAGTCTACGTGTCTACCACATGTTTGTTTGTAGCTTTTTCGCTACATAGGTGTCGCTCAAATTGCCAACTGTTTGTTTCAGCAGACGCAAAACACAAGCCGGAGGGATGGACGCTAGACGTTGCGCTTGTTGTGTCATCGATTCGTTCTATTCGATTCGTTCACACCGCTCACAGCCCCCACCTTGGCATGCCAAGCAAGCCCAGATGTATCTGTCCGTTGTCATCCTGGATGGCTAATTGACCTGTTGGCGTATTCACTGGGAACCCGGAAACGCTGTCGCAATACAGATATCCGCCCACGAAGACGTCGAGGAGGGGACCCGCTTTCTTCTGCAACACGAATCTACGGGAAAGCTGACGTGGGACATTGTCATGATGATCTTGATCATATTCTCGTCCTTCGTCAATCCCTTGAAGATTGGTGAGGCAAAGAAGACTCGAATGGGTCCTGTTGTAGTTGTTGCTCCTGTCGTAGCTTTCGTTTCGTTCTTGGTGGCCTTGTTGGTCTGGACGCTTGTGTTCTCGCCCTCGTCCCTCTCCTTGTGCTTGCTCTTGCCCTTGCTCTTGCTGTTCCTCTCTATTCCCTTCTTCGGCATCCTGCAATCCATCAGATGGTTCTGTTTGCTCAACCCTTTCCCGTCTCGATCAACTAGAGCACTAGACACAGATACACCCAGAGTTGACCCTAGGATGATCCCTTCATGCCCTGAAGATTTGGTTGGTACAGGTTGCTGGCCGAGATGGGGATATAAGATAAGACACAACTTGACATAGCACGCCTTCGTGTACTTTGCAACACGCGTCTCAGACGTCGTACTTGTGCACAAGGTCGGGCGTAGTTGTTTTATTATCCATAGGGCTGTCAGCATGGAACGCCAAGGGTGACGCCTGGAAGAAGTCCAGTGCCTCGGTCTTCGAAATAGGACGAGGAATCGCTTTTCGGCCTTGTGCAACACGGACAAGAGTAGGGAGGCGCATGACCAGCCGACTTTGGGCGGCACCTCGCATGACGTTCGTTCGTCAGCAGGTTCTAGAGGCACGTGCGGTTCTCTCGAGGCCTCGTCGTGTCTCGTCGTACCCGCGTCGAATCAGATCCGGGGTTGCATTGCGTGAAAGCGTCGGTTAGTAAGCGGAGTGTTGTGCTCCCGAGGCGTGTGGCGGAGAAAACAAACTCTCGTTCTCCAGAGATTCTCCCTCAGAGCCTGTGCACGGGTTTTCTCAATGTACCAGATGGTGCGTGCCATTGGCCGAACTTATCCCACATCCCACGATTGTCTGTCGAGAGTGACGCCTCGAAGCCGCGCTGCTAACGATCGACACCCACTTGCCCTACCCGCTTCTCCGCGGCCGTTCCAACGGCCAGGATTTGATATTACCTCTCGAGGAGCTCTTCTGGTTATCGAGGTGCTGGTCGATTTTTCTTTCATCTTTCATATTGGACTCACCTTCCGGACTACAGTGATGGACACTGAAACCAAGGAAACCATCACAGACGTCCGAGAGATATCGGCAAGGCAAGGGCGGAAACATGATTTTCCCCCCTTTAGGCCAGAGTTGGTGCTGGAACTCCGTGTGTGTGTGTTGAGAGAGAGAGAGAGAGAGAGAGAGAGAGAGAGAGAGAGAGAGAGAGAGAGGGAGAGAGAGACGGGGGGAGAGAGAGAGAGAAAGAGGGTGAGAGAGGAAAAGTTTCAAGGGAACGTTTCAACGTTTCTGCTTTTTTCTCTTGACTTTTCGTTTGTTGGTTGGCGTTGATGATGTTATATGTCTTTCGTGAGTCTCAAGTTTGAATGTATTTGCGATGTCATGTATCATTCCGCAACGCCACCCAACACACCATGCGGACTACAAGCGACGAAGACTCCAGCGATCGTCTTCACGAACGGGAACGGGCACCGATACAACATTTTCAATTTTGTTCACGCTGAGTTGACTGCGCCGCGACCGGTCTCATCCCGCTATCTATCGTCTTCCCACAACGTTCAAAACACGAGTGACAGCAACGGTTAGCAATGAAACGCAACCCTTGGTGGAGCAAAAGTAGCTACCTCGCCCGCATCGAGGGGTTGTGATCGGTAAATCTCTCCACCGCCCCAGCCCAACCTTACCATGCCAATCAAAAACCGACCTCTAGAAAATTCGGAGTATGCACCTACGGAGCACTGCTTTCCCCCCTACCCCATGCGGCACGCTGTACAAGTATATTGATCCGCGTGCACGCGCGCATGTGTCACTGCACCGTCCGTTTCCGCCACGTGTTCGCTTTGCGCAACACCCCCCGAAAGAAGATATCTGAAGGGTTGGTTCGTCCTGGATGTGGCGAGCTCGCTGCCGGTAGCGTTGATAGCCCACACGGTGGACGTCACCGGCCAGGAGAACTTCTTCTACATGCTCAAGTTGGTGAGTCCGCGGCTTGGTGTCGCCTTCCCCACTGCCCTTCCCCTGGTCATCTGACATTGGCGTCCACACACATTTTTCGCAGCGAGGCTCCACGCGGGTTCCTCGTTCCAAGTGTGGCTCACGGTGATGGTGCCCTTTTGCTGAGCTACTGAACCTCGAGGGTATCGCTCGAAACAATTAGTCGCTGTTAATAGCCTTTGAGGATATTCCCCTTTGCGGGGGCATGCCCGTGCAAGGACCTCCTCTGGACGATGATCATTCAATAGTCAGCACGTGGAAGTCGGGAAGAAAATTCGAACCATGACTTGGAAATCAAGCAAAACAACTGCGACCGACGTGCTAGAATAACCTGTGGTTCGGATGGGCACCCCGCGGTACTACAACCAGCGGTGCTTTCTCACTCCCAACCCCGACGTTCACTGGGCAAACCTTTGGCAACCCATTCGTGGATGCAACTGATTACACGCTTGTCGAAACGAACATTTGTACTTCCACCCCTGACGTGTTTTATCCCTCGTGATGCAATTCGAAGTTCATGGCGTTCCGATGTATTCTTCGTAACTTTGATTCATGACCGGCAGTGCATATGATGCTTGGTTGGCTCACCCCACCGACCTTCAAAAGCTGGGGGGGTTGTGTCCCTTGCCAAAAAACATTCGTTCTCCGGGTGCTTTTAAACCAATATGATGCAGTTGCGAACGCTCAAGCTCCACCAGCTCTCGGTGATATCGACTGCGGTTCTGCAGCGGTTCGAGGACAGGGATTTTAATCCTTCGGTGAGAGGTCGCACAACACTCGTGCAAGTTGCGAACTTCCAGTTTTTCGTTGATTTTGCAGTGTGTGGAGGCGGATTGTTTTTTTTCGCTGGATCTCGTCCATCACACAGGGGGGAGGGAGGAGGAGAGATTGGTATAATTATGAGTGAGAGGGGAGTAAGAAAACGACACGACCCGACAATCGGATAGTTTGGTAGACTTGTTGAGCACCGGACTTCATGTTGGACGACTCACTTCGCGCTTTGCCTTTCTCGGCTTACCGACAAAGTCTAGAGTGGAGGTAGTAGGACGGCCACATGGTGCTTGAAAGGTATTGGGCAAGTTGTTGCCCATGAACCATACGTAGCACTGTTCATTACTCTAACTATTTCAACGACGACGCGTGCAATGAGTTTCATTCTCATCGAGAGCTGGAGATTTACCTTTGCGAAACGTTGGGTTGTGTTTCGTGTGGTGGGAAAACGACGGCAGTATCGCCACGCAATAGCTGAAAAATTGACAACGAAATCGCGTGAATACGCCCCGTCCTTCTCTCCGCCCGTCGGTTGGCCTCTGTTTGCCGACGTCCGCGTGCTCTCTCTCTCTCTCTCTCTCTCTCTCTATCTCTCTCTCTCTCTCTCTCTCTCTCGCTGCGTATCAAAGATGTTCCGCATCTACATTTTCGTCTTCACGTTTGTGCTCGTGGTGCACTTTATTGCCTGCGGCTACTGGTTTGTGTCCAGGTGAGGAAAATTACGAATACACCAGCAGCCAAATCCTTCCACACCCTCTTGAAACTCCCGAATAATATCTTTAATGGCAAGTGAATGGCTGTGGCTATGTCAGAGCGTGACAGTAGTCCGCCCCGAAGGACCGCGAATGACGATAGAGTAAATGGGGTGTCCACAGAGTGAGACACAGTAAATGCAGCTCATGATTCAGTTGTCCTGTGAGGTAATCCGAGCGCAGAAAAAACAGAACGGGTCGGCAGGCACGCCAGAAAATTGTTGCGTTTTCTTTCCAGGACAAACCCCGAGGCACGTGACAGCTTCAGTTGACAAAGGCGAACTGTTTCACAACAGAGCAAAACGGTTCGGGACCGTGACGGGATAGATAGGGTACAGCAACAAACAGTAGACCGTGTGTGCAGCGTCATATTGTCTAATTCCCCGGTGCTTCAAAGTGAAAAGAAAATGGTAATGCTCAAACCACCCATGTTCGCAGAACAACGGACCCAGAGTTCGAGGGGCTTTGGGTCCCGGAGCAGGAGTACCTGGACGCCGCCTTGTACAAAAAGTATACCCGGGCTCTGTACTTCTCCCTCGTCATCACCTACGGAAACGACTTAAGTGAGGGACAGATATCGGCGCGCTGATTTCTGTGCCTAGGATACGGCTGTAGTTCAGGGGTAAATCGAGCAACGGCGTAGCTTGGGGTCCTACCCTGTACGGGATATATGCCGGCCAACAACCGAACACGACATGGGAAAAAACTATTACAAACTACACGTGGAACACTTTGAGCGTTTTCAAAGGTTTGATTATGGCTTTGGGAATGAGTAATACTGGATTGAACCTGTATGGAACCTCCACTACCAACGCCTTGTTGGAAGACTACTCCATGTCGAAGCCTGCGGGCGTCAATCACGTGAATAGTTGCTGATTGTCGTGTCATCAACGACGAGATCTCGGAGGCATGCATACATCCTCTGTTGTTTCGATAACTTCGCTTTCTCGATACCAACATCATTCACAACTCATACGCGCACTCGGCCCATGGAAACAACGTGTCGTGCACCTCCTTCCCTTCCTCCCAGGGACTTTGCCCTCCGGAGTATTGTAAGCATTGTTGGCCATCCTCCACTGCACGACATAGATTGAGTCGGGTAAGAGCTCTCTGGTTGACCGATTTTCCACATGTGCCCGTGTGCCAGATATTCTGGCAGTGGTATCGGAGAACTCTTGTCTTGTGCAACTATCGTTGAGTACCTCGCTTCGAAATCGCGCGTGTGGTGCTGGTGGCACACCGACCCATCCCGCGGGACCCCCTTCGCGGAACGAATGTTTCTTGAAGAACCGGAGAATGACGCGGAGTACGTGTTCTCCAACATCTGCTTGACGCTGGCTCTGCTGACCAACGCCGTCATCATCGGGAGCGCCACAAACCTCCTGTCAAACATGGATGCTGGAGCCGTTGCCAAGAAGACGCAGATGGACGGGATAAACGGCTACATGCGGTTCCGAAAGGCGAGGCGGCTCCTGCTTGTCTATGTAGAACAGCGTTTGTTGGTTGGGATTTCAACCGACGTGGGTAGGGGAAACGGTCACATTCGTTTCCCGAGGGGAGAGTTCGCTTTTTTCGTCTGACTTGGCGTGTGTTGGCTGGGGTTTCGCGAATGGACGAGACAATCGGATGTTTCCAGATGGTCAGGTGGTATCCGCTTGTCTTGAAAACGGGTTTGTCGGGAATCTCGTTACCCTTTGGGCTGGGGCGGGTCGTTCCGGAAACGCTGATGGCGGTGGGTCGCTTCTTGACGTCGCCATCCTCGTGTTTGTGAGCATGGGAAACGACGGGTATTCGGGAAGGAACAGTCATCTGCCCGCTGAAAGAGCTCATGCTATCCGATACGGATGTTGGCGAGCCTTGGAAACAGTGGCCACGATGAAGAAGTAGCATGCCGTCGAACGATCATGGTGGGTTTTGCCTGCTTTCTCACTGCCACTGTTGCGTTCTGTTGTGACAAGAACAAGAGGGAAAGAACATAACGATTTGAACCCGTTTTTGGCATGTACCTTCCGTTGTATTTGCCTGAAATAACAGAGTATGCTGCAATTTGATGGACAATGGGATCGTGGGTTCATGATAGCACACGCTCATGTTGTCATTCCACCCGGAATACGGCCATCGGTTTGTAGTGAGGTGCCTGACAGCGTCTGAATGAAGTTCACGAAACGAACAAGGCCAGGGACACAGGGACATAGCCCACGTGTCTTGCTCAATATTATCCAACTCATATTCAGTCCTGGACATTTTTTCTAAGCGAATTGTCTCATGCGGCAACGACAAGCAGGTGCCCAAGGGACTCCAAAAACGGATCCGAACGTTCTACGAGTATCTTTGGGATTCAGGCCAGGATAGCCATAGTTCGGGCCTCTTCGAGGAGCTGCCGGAAAAGCTCAAGCTGCAGCTCAATATTGCGCTCAAGAAACGCCTCATTGACCAGGTGAATGCTACACCAGCTGCTCGCGGCATAGGTAATCCAGAAATCTGTGAAGGATTCGTCGACTGTTGCACGCAAGGCATACGGCGCCGATACGTCAGCTTTCGGGCGCATGGTTAGACATATATCGCGCGTGCGCGTAGACTTCCACAAGAGGGAAAACGCCCCGCCCATGCCCCCCAGCCGATGTCTCGATGGTCTGAAGTCCGGGGAGGCGATGCAAGCGCAGATTAGGGCGGAGGCAACTGAATATGTCTTGCGGAGGGAGCTGAATAGCAATGATGCCGTTCCGCCATGGTGATGTTCCCGCTATATGCAATGACAGGTGCCGCTCTTCAAGACGTTTTCGCCGTCTGGAACAATCGCTCTCGTTCAGAACCTGATCCCCAGCATTATTCTCCCGGGAGAACTAATCGTACGCCAGGTGAACCTCAACAAGCAAGAAGATCGCTAAATTCTGACGGCGTAAGCCTTGTGGCGGCCACAGACAATACGAGAATCACCACCAAACACTGCCACTTTTGATTTCCAAGTCCTCCCTCGAGTCTACCAACAAGGTTGTGAGTCTTTACGCTGAAACAGGATGCCCCCAAACGTACAACCCGAAATCCAGGATGAGCTTCATCGTTGGGCATTGTTTGTACGGGGCATTCTGGCAACGCCTGATGTGGTGGGCAGAAATGAGCAACAGTGCTCGGTGTGCTTGTCTCATGGCGGCAAGAACCGACGACCACGTAAACGCATACTCCTTATTTTGACACAAGAGGCGAATCGGTATTTTGGGGGTGACATCTGCTGGGGTTTTGTTTTGCCACCCTGCGCAGGGAGAGCCAGCGACGTGCATGTTCTTCATCAGCAGAGGCTCCGTGCGAGTGACCGTGCCCGAAACCGAGGACTGCGACGACGAATTCCCGGAGGAGACGTACATCATCTCGCTGGGCGCCGGGTCGTTCTTCGGAGAGGTGGCTCTGCTTGAGGAGGTAGGTCCATCATGTGTCGAGCGGCGACATCTCACGAGCTTCGTAACCCTAAGAGCTCTAGTGGCCTAGCTTGGAAAGCCATGTGGCTGCGGCGCGAGTTCTTTAACAAAACAGAAGCTTGGTAAGATAATGTCCGAGTCCATCACACTGCGTATCGCAACTGCACAATGCAGGAGCACGTCCGGACGGCGAACGTGAGGGCAGAGGCGTTTACCGAGTTGCAGGTCATGCACGCCGCGGATTTCAAGGCTCTCGCCGAAGTGTTCCCAGAGTTCAAGGTGCGGATATAGTGTGTGGTCGGGCGTGGATGCGCGGTTCTGTCGTTAGTTTCATGAACGTTCCGTCGGTAAATGTCTCGAATATCGGCAAGAGACAGTGGTGTGCTCAAGGATTTGCGGTTGATGTTGATCTCGTGCACAAATAACTTGGTTCGTGGTCTCGAATGAGAGGGAGAGCTGCTGAACCGCTCCGGCCGTAAAATTTGCTGTTATACGTCTTTCCCTACCCTTACTCCCCCCGGCCCAACCCATCCGCCGCGACCCGCACAAACCAACCGCCAAAAGACGGCGGTCAAGTCGATTTCCAAGTCTCGCATGAAGGCCGGCGAAGCTCTCGGAAAGATGAAGGCACGTGGAAAGAAATTTTCCAAAGGGAACTCTCGTTCCACTCGCGGTCCAGGGCCCCGGTCGATGAAAACCATGCGAAATGCCATTGCCGCCGTTAAAGCCAATCCTCGCGCCGCGACCGGTAGAGAAACCAGAGAAAAGAAGCCCAAGATGGCAAGCTTGGTGGAACGATTGATGAGGAAGTACAGGTGAGCCTGCCGCTAACACCGTAGTCATCGCTTATTCTGCTTGTTTCCCCCACCCTTCCCAGCAGGAACGAAGGCTTAACGAACGAATTCCCCGAACTGAACAAGGTTGCCATCAACAACCAAACGATCTTGCTCCAGTGTTTCCATCCGTGATTGCGCTGGCTACGGGTGTAGGTGACCGGGTGAGAAGTTTCGGTCGAAGAGAGCAAGAAACACCCGCTGTTGGTCGGCGTGCTAGACACATGAAGACCGAACCCCACCATCAGTGCCGAGCGCGGCGAGCAGCCTGCATCGTTGATAGATTGGAGCGGGGATTTGGTTTCCTCGCGGTCGTAGAGTGGATGTGGAATGACCCGAGATCACGCCCGAGGGCCGTCTCACCAACCATTGTTTTAATCTTTCTTGGAACCTTCAGGCGGTCAAGCGCGGAAAGGAACGAAAGGGCCGCATCGGTGGCGAGATCCTTTCCTAATTCTGGCCGTGTTGGCACGTCGCGCTGGTTAGGAGGGCAGAGCTTCAGGGAAAAGGAGCAGCGGTGAAGACCCCTCAGTTCGATAGAGTCTCCGCAAGTTTTGGTTTGACCTTACCTTTGTCCGTAGACACCAAACCTTCACACCAACAAAAAGATTCTCTTACATCGTGTCGAACAAGTGGAGAACTTTGCATAAGCCGGCACGGCATCGACGTCGTGAGAAAACAATAGTAATAACGCACACACGGAGACGACTCAGTCCTTCTCGCGATACAACCTAAGGCAAGCATCACGGAATCGAAGCTGGGGAAATCCTCCTGTATGCCCTCGTGTTGTGTCACACCAGCTTGTGAAGCGTCCACAACTACCAAGGAGCAATTTTCCTGACGTCCGTAGGACATATTTGATTCACCAACTCCCGCCCCCTTCCCTATGTATGCCCCGTTTTCGTGGTAGCAGGTCTGTTTATGAAAGGATCGTAGCGCACGAGGCGCTGGTGTCACACGAGGCGGCCATACGCGTAGCGAGAGGGGGGGGGATAGCGAGGGAGGACCTTTTGGCAATGAATCATCTGTAGCAACGGCTATGGGCTCATTTGTGTTGCGGCCAGCACCTACAAACGAGTGGCTCGTTGCGCGAATTACGGCGTTGCGGTGTGCTACCGTCACGCCGAGCCCATCGTCCTAGCAGAATATCCTTACCGATCGCTCAGCCGCCACGAACAGGAGCACCAGCATGTGATTCCTAGAATCGGTTAAGCGCGGAACCGTCGGACAGGCACCTGCAGTACAGCAACCTTCTTGAATATCGTGAGGTAGATTAAAGTAGCCCAAGCTACAGTAGATATTTGACTCCTCCGTGAGTAACCTTGATTTTGATGTGCGTTCCGCGTAGTGCTAGAGCTTCGCACCCGGCTGGGTAGCGAAGCGGTAACACTATTCTTGTGCAGTAGGACCGTTTGTTTACAACTACCTTGCTTCCTGTCAATATGTGGTGCGTGTCTCGCGTTTCGTTGAGTTTTTCGTTGAGGCAGCAGCTTCTTGTCGCTATTTAAGGGGTGAAGCACTCACCCACCTTTGATAAGCCAAATTATACACTCAACTCGATTGAGAATCATTGGATATCTTTCACTTGTTCCCCCGGGCAGCTCCTTAGTTCTGGGTGTTTAGTTTGAGCGCAACTGAATCCTGTCCCCGTTGGCATAATGACGTGACATTCTACTAACATCCTCCCGCACTGGTGTTCAGTACTGCGCATGGAGTAGCGCGGCACTTCGTGGACATCATGATCTGTCCAAAATGGAGTTGCAAGAAAGAAGTCCGAACTGTGGTTCGGTTTATGTAGAACAGCCCTGTGTCGCAAACTCTACCAGATGGTGCACCCACAACTCTCCGTGGTAAGTCCCATCTATGTGTGGTCCATATGTGGAAGTGTAGTCTGCACTATGATAGCAAGGTTAGTGTAGACGCAATATTTGATCAAGAGGGTACAATAGACAAATCTGAATACTACACCAATGGCCTATTATAGTGTTTGCGGGATCTTCTCTCTTGTCTCTCCACTCTGCTGCAGAAAATGAAAACAAGTCGACGTTGCATGCATAGACTATGTGTGCAACCAACGCGAGAAGGAAAAAGCTCACGGCCGTCCCACACCGTCGCATGTGCAGCACCGCCTTCTCGGGCAGAAATGCTGTACATTTGGCCGATGCCTACGGACTGCACAGGTTGCATTTCACTAATTCGAGTTGGCAGCAGTCAGGCCCGGATCGGGTCAATGCTCACGGTACTTGCATGATTTTCTCCCTCCTCCATATATTGGGTGAGATGGCCGAATGTGAAAGTACGACGAGACTGAGAATTTTTACAAGTACTGTACACTTCAAGTTCCAGGTGTGAATGTCTCAAGTGAAATTCAATACCTCACGATGATGGTGAAAGAGAGGCGCTTGTTCCTTGTGACGACAACCTGAAGAACCCGTCGTTGCGACAAGATTTTGTTGTCTGGGCTGACATCGTGAAAGTTTTCTCTACCCGTACCGCATGACTCTCCATCTCTCCATAGTGTGTGGCGCAGCTCATGCAATTTTGATTCAGGTGGTCATCCTCTTACCCGTGCATGGGACAAAGGGGTAGAGAGACATCTATGGTGTAGGGCGTCAGTCGCGTTGCGTCGGCCGCCCAATGAGAGAAACTTTGTAGCCGAGCCGAGCAGTACGGAACGAAATCTACGATGAAATCTACGATGAAAACCTACGACAGACAATGAAATCTACGGAGAACACGACTTTCTTTGTTTCCGTAGGTCTACAGGGTCGGCGGGTGATTTCAGGCTTCAGGGATGCATCATTCAATTGTGCACGACGTGCCTTGCTTGGTGACGCCTCTTTCCTTCGACAGGCGGCTTGGGGAGGACCGGTGTTCTGACAAAAGAGCTCGTGTCATGATGCCAGGGTACTTTAGTGAGTAGCACATCTAAATCCTTGTTGCAACCCTTCTGGGAGCAGGAGGTGGGTTTGTCGCCCCGTATCGGCCTCAATGCCGTACCCGTTGGGTATTTCCAAGTCGACCATGTCCTCACCATGGTACCTGACTGCCCTGATGGCAATGTTTCTTGCAACACGGGGGGCAGCAATCGCTCCGAATCATGGCGACTTTCAACAAGCATCGCCTGAACCGCAAGTATCGGCAGGATCGCCTGGATCAACCAGCAGTTTGAAGGTATCGTGGGATACAGTCGCGGACCGGGCGGCTCCCAAGATCCTCGGGTGAGCGGTCTTGCAGCAAATAACTCTTTGTGTGACCTAGCTTTTGTTTTGGATCCCTGCTCTGGTCGCGTCCTAATTTACAATATCCTTGAGTCCAACTCTGACTGGGTATTGGATCATTGCAGCGGGACGACAGCACAGCGAGACTGTGTTGTAGTACTCTGTAGTACAGACTGCATATATGTATGCATTGTAGTCTACATGCGGTACCAAGAATGTTGATTCTTCATTATACTGCTTATTGGTGTTGATAGACCAGCCACTCGTATTATTCCTCCCCTTCCTGCTGTGGACCCTTATTGCAAGAGAGGTTTACTTCGAATCTTGTGATTGGAGCATTTGTTCAGCTTGATTTGCACGCGTTGGTGCTGGTATGCAGATACGAGCTACAATACGCCGTGGCCGGGCGTACTGGAGGCAGCGATGACACCATCGCAAGTTGGAAATCTGCGGAGGGGAACACCCACGATACCTGGGACATCACCATTCAAGTGGACGGATTTGACAGGTACAACATGTATGATGGAAGGCAGTTGGCGCGCGAGGGAATCAACTTGGGGCAATAACAAAATGGGGTGGACATACACGATTCGAATATACTGCTGAGGTACTGCTGTGCAGGTCTTCGACATAAAGACTTGGCAAGCTGAGGTACTGCTGTACAGGTCTTCGACATACAGGCTTGGTAAGCTCAGACGAAAATCCCGTACATTGTGTAATGAGGTTTTCAGGATAAGCTACGGCCGCTGGTGTTGGAAGGACCGGTTTATCAGGGTCGCTGTCGGTTTCGATCATACACTGCTGTCACGGTCGCTATGATACGTTAGCCACCCATCGGTTGCGACGGTGTGCGAAACAATACAATACAATTATTGTAACATAGGCATACCAAACATGTTGACCTTGATGTTTCCGCGGTCCTGAGATGTGCTGGTGTCTGAGTGTGTTTCCGTCCCATCTGGGTACCAGTCTACAGTTTGACCGCGCGGCCGGGGCCACACGAAAGAACGGCAGACGATGGGTTCGATCTCATCAACATTTTTCTCGTGCAGCAATGGCCTTCATTGTGTGACATGCTGAGGCTAAAGAACATAATGATATATCGCTCGACCTATTGCACGGACACAGCGTACATGCTGCACTGGAAAAGGACTAACCCACCCGTTCGAGGTCGAGCATATCATCAACCACGATCGCTCCTTACGGATCGTGGACATATTTTTCACCGAAAATCGACAGGTCTATTGGGAGGAAGCACATGGTAGAAGACGGATGGTTCACTCTTGCGTTATCTCGGGCGTACCCCAAGCCTAGTTCACTGCCAGACCTGTGGTTGGATACGGAGCCAATCGGGTGGAACGAAACCTGGGTGGACATGGAGGCCAAAGTTCAAAAGACCCTCAGGTGACGAAGAGCAATGGTTGCAGTCCTCCGAGGCCTACGCGTATCTTTTAGGTTTGTGCTTCTTCCTACGTTAGTCTATACAGAAGTGGTCCCGGGAGAATGCCGTTCGCCCCGTATATTGCCGGCTATTTCGACTGGATCGCACCAGCATTACACCGGGACCACTGGTGAGGCGAGATGTTGTGAGTCTCTACATGCCAACCTCACAAGTGAATGAACCCGAACATTTCACTCTGAAGACCAAGGCTCAGGGAGTCTTCTCCGGAACGATGCGAAAAGAATATTTCACCTATGTTGTGGGAATTGTGTCTCCTGTACCAACAGGCCTCCTTCCATGTCTGTCTGTAATGTCCAACGTCAGTAGGAGAATCCCTTCGACTGGGCTCATCTATGACTTCTCTGTCATCTTGATGGCCGATGGCTGTCCTCCCTCGCTCCTCTCAGCTAACTCCCTTTTACTACCTCTCTCTGGTTCCACCAAACCTGTCCACATTGTTCTATAGGTACTATACGTCAGGGCAGCTTGCTCGCCGCAATAGAGAGCTCGTAACTCTCCATCGACTGTAGCGCAGAACCACATTGGCGTCAGCGTTTGCGGCAGCGCCGCTGTCACCCTTATCACCATAGAGTTGTTGGTCGACGTCCTCGGACTCATTGTACTCCGTCGCCATGACAAAGACTGGGACACTCTAGGACAAGTGCTTTGTGGGACACACTTGTCCTAGAGTGTCCCAGTCTTTGTCAGTACGACGTCGACCCACAACTCAATGGCGACATGGGTGACAGCGGTGCTCCCGCAAACGCTGACGTCTTTGTGGTTTTGTGCTACTACAGTTACGAACTCTCTAGTCTTATCAACAAGTTATTGTCTCAGTTTGACCAAAGTTCACCACTAATACCTGGGGGGGTAATGTGGGGCTTGTCTCTCCTGAACAGACAAGCCTCATTTACTATCTTGTCTGAAACGTCCAACGTCAGTCGGAGAATTCCTCCGGCTGGACTCATCTATGCCTTGTCTGTCATCAGTAACGAGGAATCTCCGTTCATGATCTTGGTGGCAGCATATCCACCCTCGTCCCTCTCAGCTCACTTCACTACCTCTCTCTGGTTCCACCAAATGTGTCATACTGTCCACGTGGTCCTACACGTGCCTCTACTTTCATTGTCGCTTATCTACGTGAGGACAGCTTGTTCGCCGCAAGAGTAGAGAGTTTGTATCTCTCCATCGACTGTAGCACTCTAACCCCAAACCACAATGTCGCCATTCGCGATCGATCTGTTCTCCGTCTTCGGTTTGTTCCATCTTTGTAAACTTTCAGTGCAAAATATATTCCATATGCTCGAACTAGTCGGCCATGATTCAACCAACGGACGACACGAACGCCTTACCTCCCCAACCTAGCCGGACCGAGTAGGACCATCTGCTATGACGCTTTAACGTTGCCCGACTCCCTCGCGTGGCGACGAATTATCAGAGAATCTAGGCACCCCCAGTACTCCTCTTGGACGGCTGCCGTGGTGAGATGCGACGAGACTGAAGAGCGGGGCGGCAAACATTGGGCGGGAGGGTGTCGTTTCCTCGAGTACGGGGGCTTCACTTGGCACCTCCGGTAAGCTACCCAGTCAACGCTAGGACTCTGGGACGCCCGGCAGTGCCTCACGAAAAGGTCATGACCAATGCCGGCTGGCCATACCTCAGCATGATTTAACCGAGAGCTTCACCGGACCGTGATGGTCGACATGCTCTACGTAAACAGGCTGTCCCCCCCACCCGGAGATGCTTCAGCTACGCGTGAGGATTTCCCGGTGGTGACAGTGACGAAAGAAACAATCACGGCGAAATGGAGTGGAGATGGCGATCAGGTGCGACAATCGATTTCGTCCTTAAGGGACTGCTTCGAACGCCGTACGTGTGTGTCTGTGGATGGGATTTTGCACACCCTGTGGTGGAGAGGATAGAACTTGGCGCGTGCCCAAGCATCAAAGAGTTTCGTTTGGTTTCCTTGTCGGGTACTGTCATGATGCAGGTTTTTCGTGACCAGAGGCCCTACGTTGAGAGCCCGAACATGTTGAAAAGACCGCCCGCCTGTTGTGAACGTAGGAAAGGTCTTGAATTCCCGTAGCCGATATATTTGGCGCTCGGGGCCGACGATTCATCTACTCGTTCGCTGCCCAGGTTGTATCTGAACGCTTCGGCGATCATTCTCAATCTGGAGGAGAAGACAGTGCGCACGAAGAGGATTTGGGACGAACAAACCTCATCGATCCTTTCTTTTGCCAAAGAGGAAGGTGTGGAAAAAAAAAGTGCTTTCGAGATGTAGATTTTATTTTGTTGGTCTGGTTTGTGATTTCGGGTCGAGCTTGTTGTCCGTTTCGTGTACTTATGGGTAAAAATGTCGACAAATGTTCAAGCGGGTTTGCTGCCGGTTGTATGGAAACATAACTTCAAACGGTTGGCCTGCTCCACGACGGACTGTCGGAGGTGGTTTTTTCACCAACGCGGGACAAGACACCTTTTTTTCATCCTTCTATAATGTGACCCACATCGTTCCAACAACGTCATTTTTGCTGTCTTCACAGCTGCGAACGCATGTTGGAGGGTCTAGCGGCGGCGACACCGTACCTCGTGAGGCTGAGGGCCTACAACCGGAATGGCTTCGGTCCCTGGATGTCATCTACCACTGATGTAAGGACGATCGCGTGATCTCGCGTGGAAACGATTCGCTCGAAGCCCCTGTACCGCGGACGGTAGATCCGCGGTCGTCGACCGAGAGCAAGGAGTTTGACTCGATTTCCCCCCTCAAGAGAAGAGCAAATGATGAAGCGGCAAGTTTGGCTGGCTTCGGCCCCAAAGCTTCGTCTATCACGTAGGTAGCTTCGGCATATATGCTCTCATCCTCCACAGACAATCAAGCGCCTCTCAACCTGCTGGACACGACCGGCCTTTACTTCGAAACTCTTGGCTCTCGCAGCGCTTTGGTAGTGTGCGAACGACCTGCACGACAGCCGTCCTCGTTGATTCTCCTAAGAACCCCGATGCTAACGCGAGCGCGTGCGTTCCGTCACGAAACAATTGAACGGTTGAGACACCCGTGCACAGCATATTCCCCCTTCGGCGTCCCTTCGCGGGTTCCTACGCACGTCGTTTCGGTGTTTGCATGGCGTAGTAGATGTCTGTGGGAACGACGGGAGGAGGAGCTGCCGGGATCAGCACAAATACCGTACCGGTGACCCCAGCTCCCAAAGCTCCGAAGCTTTCATCTTCAACCCCAACCAGCCTCACCGTGTTTGTGGACACGGCAAGCACGACCGGAGCGGCGGAGATCGAGGTGAGAAGTCAATTTCAGGAAACTGATTCCCTTGAGATTCTTAGGCGTGGCGGTACTATGAACTCCAGGAATCGCCACACGTCCCAAGTAGATCGGTCGAAAGGCCAACGAGGACGCTGAGGAGGCCCATGCCCAGTGTATGTTGAGTAAAACGGTCCAATCGAGATCCAAGCCTTTCCATGTATCACCTCGAAGAGCACCGCCGTTTGGTGTTCGGAAAGAACAAATTTGTACAATTTTCAACTCTGGTCAGCGATTTCCATAACGAACAAAGCAGTATCAATCCAAGCACAAAACGACTTCATAACGACTGCATTGGTTGTGATTCGTGCGGCCAGCCTCCGTCGCAGATTTAGACTATTTCACGACGTGCCAGCAAGCGCCACCAACGTGCCGAATCAGGCAGCAGAGAACACTCCCGATCGTTGCAGCATGAGGGGCTCTCGTCCGTATTTTAGCACTGACGAACTGACTGTGATGTGTCTTGTCGCTTCGGGCGATTACATCGAGGTCGACCCAACCGGAGATGGAGGGGCACCGTCTGAAGCTTGAAAACGTGCAAAAGAGCCACCTTACAGGGAAAGAAACGCATCGTCATCTCTGACATTTCGGGTGGAATCACTAACGCTCACAGAACGCGTGAGTGGAATTGCTACGTGTCTCTGGGGCAGTTCCATTTTCCAAGGCTGCCCTGTTTTGAATCGGTTTGGCCAGCGCCACTGCTGTGGTTTCGATTCTACCGGTTTTTGCGTCTGCGGTACGCACTTCGCAGGCCTACGAGTTCGAAGTCCAGCGGCACGAGGATGACGGCTACAGCGGGGACACCACGCGGTGGATTCCGGTCTCAACACACGCCGACGACAACAGCGATGCCGCAGTGCCGCTGACAACAGCAACGGAGCTGTCGCCGTCCAGCAGCTACCGCTTCAGGGTGAGGGCCCGGCACAGCAACGGGCTTAGCCTGCTCAGCGGCGTGTCGGAGCCTTTTACCACAGGCAAGATAAACGTTGAGCACATGAAAAACGGATTTAAACTTGTGCTGAAAGCAGGTTGTGAAAGGGCGACTACAGATGTTTCATGGTGGCGTTAGCGAGCTTTCGAAGCAACGGCCATATGTGTGTATTATTCGTTGCTGAGTCAACTTGAGGTTTGAAGCTTGCGATGCTTGGTGTCGCGCACAGTGTAGGCGCAACTTTGGTCCGAGGGTAGACTTGTTGTTGAATCACGATGATGGTCGGTGAAACGTGAAGAATTCGGAGCTCGTCGGCGCTACGAGGGACAGCCAATCGACGAGCACACAACGCCAATCGCCACAGGCCTGGGACTGCCAACACCCTCGCCGTTGGCGCCTGCTGTGGACGTGACATCGATAACTTCCAGTACGATGGCGGTCAAGTGGTCGTCATGGGCACAGGCAGGTAGGTGATAGAGTCGGGGAACAATAGGCAAAATTTCTTGTGTTTCGTTGTTGTTTTCGACGATGTCGTCGTCGTTATTTCTGTTGACACCCAGGCGCAAGAGCTACGCGGCAAAGACACCGCAGCACGGACACTCGCAAGAGCGGGGAATATTCGAGGTTCTCAAACGTTGAAACCTGAGACGGGTGAAATCTACGGCGTGATGTTCCCACGAGTTAGTAACAATACATTCGCTGGTGAAGTTGGGCATGTCGATGTTAGTGGCCGAGAGACCCATTCGTGGTGATGGTATACGCCCGGGGGCGACAGGAACCGTTTGACGTCTCGACCATCTCGTTGTGTGCACATATATATGAAAGTTTTGTTTGCTGCCGCATGTTGGCAGGTGTCGAGTACAGCAGTTTCGAGGCTCAGTGGGAGCGGCTCGGCAGCGGCTACTGCCAAAATGCGTCGACCATCACCCAAGATCGGTAGGCTCCCCAACAAGCCTTGCTCGTTTGGCATCGAACTCTATGCTGCCCCCTCGAAAATGAGATTCCTTGACGCAGGAAAATAATACTCTAACCATTTTCTCTCACAACCAGGGGTTTGCTCTATCGGCAATCGTAACAGTCACAGCTTGGGCACAACCACCACGCCTTGTTGCCACTCATGCGTTGTCCTAAGATTAACCCAAAAGCAGTCCTGGCGTCCACAAGTCGAGCGTAACGTTGTTTTAGGGATCAGTTTTTTCTATGTTGGTTGCACTCGCCCAAGTAGCAGATACTGGAACTACCGACAGCTACAGTAGTCACCAAACTCTTCGCGAAAACAACCCTTCTTCGTGCCGTGGACCGGCCATCGCAAACTCCTACAAATCGCGAAGGGGGAGCCAGGAGGAGTGGCGAGCAACCGCGGAAGGGCTCGAGGCCTACTCCCAGCACCGATTCCGGGTGCGAGCCGTCAACGCGGTCGGTGCCGGCGAGTGGTCCGCAGCTAGCGATTGGGCCAGGACCAAAGGGGACCCCTCGACTACTGCCGGCGTCGACGGCTTCGAGGCGGAGGCGGTCGATTCAGGTGATACGGTTTGTTCGCAGTGGCGCGCGGTGGGTTTGAGGGGAAATGAGTACCTTTCCTCTTCTTCCCTTTGATGGGCTACGTTGGTGCTCCGGGAGAGACACGACCATGACCCTCACATAGTAGTATACGTGAGGAAGACAGTCCAAGTACCTGAATGGGTGGAAGTCGATGGAGAATGGACAGACCAGGGGGGCGTCCCACTACGTCACGGAGATAGAATAATCGTTGAACAGAATGAGAACATCGTCACTTGGCAAAGCATCGAAACATCGAAAAATCCATGTATGGTGGTGAATCACGCCTCCCCCATATTTTTCGGATCTCCTTGTTCGTGTGGTGGCAGAAAACAGAGGATACGCTCATGGCATGCGAAAGTCCCTGACGTGTAGCAATATCTTGCAAAAAGAACGAGAAAGATAGGTCGGTGCCTATTCCTGTTCTCGGCGCTTCAGGTCTCCCTGCGCGTGATCCCTTCCCCACACCACGATGCACCCTTCATTGTTACGCCGCACCCCCAAGATATTCCGGCTTCTGTGCTGCTCTCGGTGAGCGGAGAAGGGCAAACCCCAGGCCACGCCAAAGATTTCGACTATTACCACGGCATAGGGGTCGGCGGGAAGGTCTCCCTCGACGGCCAAGGGGGAGACGGGGGTCCGGGAGCGGCCGTCATCGTGTCGAGGATTCCGGGTGTCCCTTTACCGTCGCGGTCTTCGTTTTTCTTCACTGGTAAGAGAACACCTCCTGAAAACGTTTGGTCCACGGGTGCGAGGAGTAGACGGTATACAGAGCACAATTTCCATTGGTATCGGGTTTTGCGTTGCGCTTGCGATGATCGTGAGGGGAACTCGATTACGTTCCGAATGGTGTGTGGTGGTTGTCCGAGTGGGTCGAATAGGGAGGGGACTGTTTCCGTGACGCTGTCGCTTTCCCTGTTCTCCAACAAACATGTCCCGGTAAGATTTTTTAAATATGGGTCGAAGTGCCGGAGCATGAAGAACCCACCGTAGCGAAATTTCATCTGTCGCTGTGCGCGTTGAGCGAACGAGGTCTTGAATGCACGCGAACCTCGCAGTCCGGCGCCATGTAGCACAACACCCTACAATAATGTCCAAGCTAAGTGCTAGGAACAATGTCGTGAAATTTTGCACGTGTCGATTCCTAGTTTTGATGGTCGAACCGGGACGAGCGCGTTACTCTGACAACACATTTTTTGCGTAGAGCTCACGATAACGGTCCGAACGTGCCGACGGCGCGGCAACTACGTAACTTCCGTGCACGGGTACAGGCGCCCCGGAGTTGTACGCAGTCCCAAGTCATTCGGGCGTGACGAGCGTCACTCTCAAACTGTGGGGAGCAGGTGGAGGAGGCGTTTTGACACTGGTAGCGGCCGCGGGTGCCCCTGGAGACAACCAAACTTCCAACGCGACCCAAGGTTTGACCGCAGAGAAACAATCGAAGATCCTTGCAAGGTGGAGAGAATGGGCAATGGTATCCTCAGTCCTTCCTGGGTGCAGATCAATTCGTGAACAGTTAACACCCCGGGACGCACTCAGTGGGATGCTGGGGATGTTTCCTTAAGAACAGAACCAAGCTTGGGGCGAAAATGCACCGAAATCTTGTTTCCATCCGTTCCGTCCGGGGCATGCCCTGGATGCATGCCACCAGGAAACTATCAACTGAACGAGAGAACTTGGAGTCAACGACGAAGAGGATGCCCCTTGAATAGGAGAAACAAGAGAGAGAGCAATGATGTAGATCAGAGCAATGTCTTCGACCCATCCGAAATTCCATACGCCCGTCAAAACCCACAAAAGGCCGCAGTAGACCTCCAGGGCTAATGGAGAATGGTCTTCTCTTATCTTAGTGACGAACATACTTAGGCAATTGAAGAGTTCCTTAGACCGAAGAGAAACAGGGCACAGAGTAACCACGTCCCGGGCGGTGATGCTACGTGTCGCAGTAGACACAGGTACCCCAGCAGAAACGTCACGAGATGCTGAATCTTGTTTAGCAAGCACTTCGAATCCGGAGACTGGAACCCTATCGGCTATCCTTCTCCGCGCCCCTCCTGCCAGGGAAACCTTCAAACTGCATCGCGTGTCCGGGCGTGTCATCACACGAAATCTATTAGTCGAAGTCTGAGGGTTCAAAGCCGGTTGCGGCACCACCTATTCACAAACGTCCAGTCATGCTTGCTACCTATTTTTGATGCGCAACATTCAGTTTCTCCACGCCACCAAGATTGTATCAACATGATGAATGAATCGAGTCCGTCTATCATGGCCAGTGAAAAATACTGCTGTGATCGATAACCCACACGTTCAATATAGGTTGGAACTATTACTGGTGGTTCAAAGCGTTGGCGAATCCCGCCCCACGAGCTCAACCGCCCCTGCAAAATTACCTCGCGTACGCCTCTGCAGTGCTGGGAGGGGGTGGAGGATTCTTGCAGGCTGAAGTGAAGGTGTCTCCGGGGGAGATGCTTGAGGTCTTGGTCGGGGGTGGAGGTGGGGGAGCGCCCGGGGAAGCAGGAGGAGCAGGGGGCTTCAACGGGGGACAGCCAGGTGGGTAGACTTAATCGGAACGGATACCCTTTTTTCCTTGCAGGAAGGACACGCTCCTGCCCAACAAGGTCGTGGTCGAGCTCTCGGCACTCATACACTTGGTTCTCCGGCACGAGCTACGCTAGCAAGATTGGTGTGTTCAGGAAGCTGGGTGGGTTTGGGAAACGTGGTGGAACCATCGATTAGTGCTTGATGTTCTCTCTGCTTACCCTTAGTGTGGAGCAGCTGTCCTACCTCTGTGACGTCGACGGTCGAAACATACGCATCACTCGTTCATAAGAGGGAAGATCAAGTACGCAACAACCGAAACCTACCGGACACACAGACACACACAAAGGATATTGCGTTCTCTATAGAATCAGCATCATATGCCAACCATGACACCTCAATCAACAACAGGGGGTAGTGGGGGGAGCGGAGCCGCGGGGGGTGGGGGGTCAACCTCCGTGCTGCGAAGGGACGGGAAACGCCTAGTTGCAGCAGCCGGAGGCGGTGGCGGCGCGGGAAATGCCGAAAACTGCTGCTCCGAGGGCGGCGCCGGCGGCGGGGTCAGGGGTACCGACGGAGGCAGCCCGGCCCTCGATCAGATGGTGGTCAACACGGGAGGGGGAGGGGAATGCCAGAACGGATGGTGTTCAGCATCCGAGGTATGTTTCCCGCGGTCCCCGAACCTCAATACCTTTACGCTGGCAACGTCTTCGGATAAGGGTTAATAGGGGGCTAAGGCCTCGGTGGCGGAGAGAGAGCTCTCACGTTGGTCACGGACAGAATGCCGGTGCGGCCGGGAAAATGTCGTCGTGCCGACCAAGATATCATCGAGTAATGCACTAACGAGAGGCGACTGCCTTATACATTTGAAAGCTCCCCGCGTGAGTCGTGTCCGCAGAAACTATTTCAGAATATGTAGTGATGTATTGTACTACATACAACCTTGCCATTTTGATCGCAACGCGTGCACGACACGAGAGAAGGCGGATGCAGTGTCGTATGAAGGCATTGAGAATTGGGTCACAACTGGGGGAAGCGGCGGAAGCACCGTCCAGGGAGGGCTCGGAGGCAAATCGGACGTCTTCGACTGGGTGGACGGAGGTGGTGGGCGTCAAGGAGCAGTTTCATCCCCTCGTAGCGGGGAGAGTTCAATGCCAATCGTCTTCAGGGGAACCGGGTGAGAGGACGATCATGGAACTCAATATCGAGACGCCTGGGAAACCAGTCTTTCGTTCCGTATTCGCTGCGAAACCAACGTCCTGCGGCCGAACGCAGTGGTGCGATAGGGGAGGGAGTGCTCCTTGTTCGACGTGAAAGGGTTGTTTTCCAAGTAGGACTCACGTACGTACAAGTCAGAGCCACGAACGAGTTTGCCAGCCTGTGGCGAAGGATCCTGTACTTAAGACGACAGGAGGTGGCATTCCCGTGAGCACCTACGGTTTTAGGACGCGGATTCACGCACCAGAACGAACCGCATCATCTGGAATGACAGATGGTGTTGGTCCTACCATACCGTTGAAACCCCCTCCGTCCTTGTCCGGTAGTTTTTTGTCAGGGTAAAGTATCGGCTTCCCCACCAGTTGTGGAAAGGTCGGAATTGCTCCTTGTTTTCAAAGGTGGTTTCCGTCCCCAACCAGGGAGGCTTGATCCATGATGGCATCGGGCCTGCTCATCACCGGAACCAACACTGGCATATCGCATAGATTCGAGTTCGGCAGGCAAGAGTAAATAAAGGAACCCAGAGGGTTGGTCCATGAAAATGCCGATCGTGCCCGGGGATGGATGCCTAACAAACCCTCGGTAACTTCTTGAAGACCCACGAAGGAGTAGACCACAGTTATTGGTGCGGTAATTCATACCAAACTGTATTTCTGGCTAGTGTTCCTAACTTAGCTTCGTCGCGTTGCTTCTGAGGGTTCACCGCGCTTCCGCTCTTGGAGCAGTTGTCCGATCTTGGTCTCGAGTCCGCACCCAGTCTCACTCCCCAACCCGCCCCGCCACACAACACCAAATTTCCTTCGTCACGTCCAGCTCCCGCCCAGCCACGCCTGGCCGCTCCTTAACCGGGGGCATAGGGGCAAACGGTGCGAGAGGGGGCGGAGGCGGCGGGGGCGGTTTCTACGGTGGCGGAGGGGGCGGATCCGGACAGCAGGGGGCGGGGGGCGGGGGTGGATCTTCTCACGCTGACACCGGTGCGCTGGCCTTGGACCACAGGACCAACGAGTGGGGGTCGGGGGGAGAGGACGGCGTGAGGGTCGTGGAGGTTGGGGAGAGTTGGGTCGAGGTGGAATGGCGGGCGGTGGTGGGCGCCGTCGCTGGAGAGCAGCCAATGTTTTACGAGGTGTGTGCCGTGGTGGCATTGGCTAGGAGATAAAGTTGTGCGTAAGAAGCAGTTGTTCGTAGAAGGTCTCGAGTGAAAGTGTGTATCAGTGATGACTCACGCCGACAGATTAGCTTCGCTGTTGGAGTTGGGGTCTGGACATGAAGGTCAACGTCGGTACAACCCACGCCAACGGGCAACACTGCCTCGAAATCATCGAGAAAACACATGAAGACAACCAGGACAGTGCGGGTTATGGCAAGTTATTGTAAAGGAAACATACGCACCAGGGGGAACAGCGAAAATAAAGTCCCTGTAACCTAAGAGTGAAGGTTTTTCTACTCCCTCTGGTGTGCACATTTCCTTTTCAATAACACAAATAACTTGGCTTAACCCGCATTCCTGGTTGTGTTAATGTATTTTTCTCGGTGAATTCCAGGCAACGTTGCCCGATGGTGTGGCTGTACCGACGTTGACCTTCATATCCAGACCCCGTTGCGCGCGGTTGGTCAGAAAAATATCTATATATCGTCCAGTATAACCGCGTGAGTATCTCGATACAACACCCCCTGACGCACCTAGCGTGCGACGCAGCAAGCGTGCGTGCAATTGAGAACTCCCCACCAAACGCTCGGATTTCTTCTTGGCAGGTCGAGATTTCCGAGGGGAATGGCAATGAAGACTTTCGCCTGTCTGCAAGAGTGGACGCGTTCGACGGATACAGCCCATCCGCGATGTCGTCTTACTCCCACGACGTCGGCGATACCTCGTCCGTGTTTCTGAGTGCAGTCCTTTCGGCCCTCAGCCCGAACTCTGACTTCGATGTGCGAGTTGTTCCAATTTCGAGGTGTGTCGACGGGAAGAAACTCTACAGTAGTAGCACGACTTCAAGGTGTCGTTTGTATGCTTAGCAGTATTGATTGACGTGGAGGGCCCACGGAGAAGGTGGCTTGGGTTCGGTTGGGGCGAGGCAGGGTTGCTTCATAGACGGGTCCTTCCTGACCCTGCGGAGGAAGAGATACATTCATCGCCGGGTTTGGGCCATGCAACCTTGTGCATATGTAAAACGCATGACGTGCGGGGGGCTCGAGATCAAGGCGCAGGCGATAACCGTAACAATCTTGTGGAAACTCTGCAACGTCAAATCGAGAGTACAACCCTGGAAAGAAATCTTTTCCGGTTCACTAATGTCGCGACACCCACCCCGCCGTCGTTTTTCTTCGCCCTGTTGACGATATGGCGACTGCAAGATTGGGGACAGGAACTCCATCAGCCGTGGTCCGCTTCTCAACGAGTGCACTCCCCGTCAACGAATGGGAATGGGTGAGAAAAGCATATTGTTTTCATGTTGCCGTAAGTTGAGAACAAAGTATGTGAGTTTTATGCCGTTTGTCGGGTCGAACTTCCGACGAATTGTTTTCTTGAGCGCACTTGCCAAAGACCTGAGATCCCTTTTACTTTGTGACCACGAAATCGACGGGCTGATACAGATCATCCCACGCCCCTCTTGGCCGGAGCGACATGGGCGCGGACTCACGGGTCCCGAACTCGGGAGGACTGGTTCATGGGACACGGATCTGGCGTCTATGGAGGTACCGAACAAAATCACAATAAGTCTAGGTGTTGGCTATAACTCGGCCAAGCCAGCCTTGGACCCCTCTCAAGCCGCGGGAACCATACAGAGCGAGAGGAGGAGAGATAAAAAGATCAGCGTGTCTCGGCACGGATATGTGGCACACCTACGTCCTCACGAAAAGCTTGCACCAGGAAAAAGGGGGAAAACTTGGAAATTTGTCTGTACGTCGTTGTGTGGCGCTATTGAATAAGGTGGTCGTTTACGCCGTGCATAAATATGTGGATGTTTGCGAGCCTGATCTCGCAACTTTCCGCTGAGCAGCCTCTTGCTTGCCCATCTCTGTGGCTGAAAAGCAAATAGACCGTTCCAGCGATCGTTCGCTTGGTATGTGATCATGCTGACCTGAGTCATGATTCTGGACCTAGCATTCAAAAGCTTCAAACATACAATCACGTGAGTCTCTCAAATTCGGTGCGCACTTGCTGCATACAGGCAGAGGGGGGCGGATTATCGAATCCCCCGACAGAGATGAGGCAGGAGCTTCCCTCGCCAAGATCGGGTCACACGATGGTGGTCATCGCCGGAAAGGTATGCCGGCGGATATTTTATTCCGCACACGCCCCCGCTGTTCAATGCCCATACTCTTCCCGCTTGAACTGCACTCAAGTTCGACATCTTCCCACACTGGTAACTCCGCACGAAGTGTCAAAGACCATCCCGACGGCACTTCTATTACATTTTCCAGGTGTACATGTTTGGAGGTATTTCAGCGAAACCTTTGTGTTCCTCAGCGACAGTGGGTTCTACCGCCCTTGGAGATACCGCGGGAGGGGCAAACACCGACGATTGCATGGGGGGCGACTCTTTCAGGTGGGTACTGGCTCTTCTACTGAATGGTACGTCCCGTAGACGCTGCAATAGTTACTGTCGTTTACCGCTGTTGATCCATGTGAAAGCTCATTGATATTTCGTAGGCTATTTCACTCCTGCGTGCATCTTAGAGATCGGTTCCCGACGGGCGCAAAACCCTCTCCTTGTTTGTCGTATGAGAATACATTCTCGATCATCAACAGTGCAACATATTTACGCGTCTCTCTCGAAATCTACCAGGTCAGGTGTTTTCCCGACAGTACGAATTCGCCAAGACAGTATTAATGATGATCATGTTGTGTTGTTCCAAGTGGTCCCTAACTTTGTCCGCTTTCGTTCAAAACCGAATCGTGTGCGAAAAAACAAGCGTCTTTCGGCCGACAACATGTGTGAGGAACTTCTGCAAGTTGGTGTTGTACGCTGCACCGCGTCTAGAACATATCGAAACTAGCTCAAGACGCGCCCTTTTCTGCGAACGTTGTATACCCTCGCGGCACGGACGGCTGATCCTCACGACGATAGCGCCGAGCTGTGGGAATTCAACCCGTCAACAAGCGTGTGGACGGAAGTCCTGGTCAATGTCGACGGAAATGCCCCCCCGGCGCGTGACGGACATACCGCTAGCGTAGTCGGCTCGAAAATGGTTGTCTTCGGTGGTAGAGGAAATGGATCCGACTCCGATGCTCAAGCCGGGAGGGGGTCGAACACCGCCTTGCTTGAAGACGAGTGGGCAATCGATCTCGACCTAAGCCAGCTCATCACCATCTCCACCAACTTTTCCACGGTGGGTGCCTGAATGCTGTATTGAGTCTTTGGGCGTGACCGACGCCTGATGTATGACGCTGGTTTGGGGTGAGTCTGCTTCTTTGCTCCAATCAAGCAAGAACTCGCCAGCCAGACAGCTCGGGTGACATCATTATCGCGCCAGCTGGTTCATGTCAGCATCAACCCTTACTCGGTCGCCAAGTGTTGTGCCAATGATGTTCTCGTTCTCTCCCGGATGTCATCGAAAAGTTGGATACGCGGGACAGCGACCGTTTCTTTTTGGTATCCAAGCGCTGACAGTATCAAACGAAATCCATATAGAGTGTGTGCAGCAAATACTTGTGTTGTTCATCCCTCGTTAGGTGCTTCGCGTGAATCGTGTTGTTGTTGCCGCTGTTGTGTTCATATTGTTGCTACCGTTTCTGGTGATCAGACCAACCCGTTCAGCCGTCACCACATAGTCTACATGTTCGACGCGACAAAATCAAAGACCCGCGGTCTTCCTCGTCTACGCTCGCTCTTCGCCTTTGACACCCCAACACGAATAACACCCCACCAGAACATCCGTGAGGGCGGCCAGATCTTCATCCCTCTCGTCGTGGAGCAGACAGAAGCGCAGCGGGCCGAAGCAGACGTGGACATGTGCGTCACTGACTTGTCAGTTGCCGTAGAGATCGATCACGACTGCATCCAACAGCTTCAGCTGACGCTCTACGGCCCCGGACCACCCCCGGGAGACACGAGCCCGCTTGGAGACGTGTCGAGAGCTGAGCCGGCCGTGCTAGTCCTTGGCGGTGGCATCTCAGACTGTGCGTCCGACGTCGACCTGTTTGGGGATGGAAACGACGGCGCGGCTGGCGACGCTTCCTATGGAGGGTGCGTGGATGGAATGGACGTGTCCTTCGAAGATTCTGCGGAGAGCGGCGTGTGGGAGGGCTGCAACAACAGGAGGTACGCACGCGCCGGCGACGGTGTCAGGTACCTTACCGTTGCGACCTCGTCGATATCAGCGATATACGTTCTGGCACGACACGCCGGAACCATGCACGAGGTCCACACGACTAAGCCAGAGAGACTTTGCGATTTTCCGGCCACGCGTTTTGAGTCTATGTACGTGGATTCTTCGTCGCCCCTGCTTCTTTAGCATGGTTCGCAGTCCCCTTCACGCCTGTGATATAGCCTGAAGGTTGGAAACGCAGGTTAACAACCTATGACTCGAAAACCACGAGCCTCGTGTGGGGACCCACTTTCCTCAATCGCTTACTCTACGGAAACGCCGCTGTGGAGATGAACACGTGCACCGTGAGAAGGAAATTTTCAGTACCCTCCATTTACTGTACACCAATCGTGCAGCCCGCTCAGGGGGACATTCAAGGCCGCAGATCGGTTGTTGGTTGGTCGGTTCCTCCGCATGCCGGCCGAAGGGGAATGGACTCTTGGCGTGCTTGACAACGCGGTCGACGGAAGCAACGGGACCGTGACCCGCTGGTCTCTCGACGTCGAGATTCGCCCGTGCGATTGGCGATCGGCACTCCGGTCAGTTTCAGCGGTGTAGATGCGTGGTGTAGTACGCCGCTGTAGGTGTTGACTGACAGCGTACAAGCTCTTCGTACAAAGAGGTTGATGGCTGCTAAAACGACGACTTTGATGTTTGGCCAACGTTTGAAAGTATGTATTGTGAAGAGAGAACGCGTATGATGCATGTATGAAAAAAGCGCTCCCAGCAGTACAGGAGTAGACATCTTACCGTCGCACACGCCGATCTAACGATAGTGCTTGGCGCGCCCAATGGGCCCATCCGCAGTAGTGAAGGCGGAAATTCGTGCGTGCATCGACAGCAAGAATTCCTCTGCTACTGATTACCCAGGAGCTCCGGCACCCGACGGCCTCCCTGTGCGACCGTTTCGCGTGTTTGCCCGCCTCCGCAGGTGGATCAACGTTTCCGGCGATGCGAGGCCTCCCGCACGGGCAAGGCACACAGCGGCCGTCGTCGACGGAGGCCGTTTCGTCTCGGGAGGCACGGGGAGTTTCGGGGCGCTGTCGGACCTCTGGCGACGCGGAGAGGCCTCTTCAGAGTGGATGATCCTCGCTGAAGGCCCCGGTGTTCCCTTGGCATCCACTGGCCCTTACAACCCTCACGGGGCGAGCATCATGGTGTCTCCCTGGGGGATGCTTTCGATCGGGGGCATGCTGCCGGGACGTGGGGTGGAGTCAGCGACGGGCGTGTGGGTTTTGGACCCCGTGTCCAAACGTTGGCACTCCGTTGATGGCGATGGCGGGGTCGACGCGTCGTCGCCGGTGGGCAGGCAAGACGACAATCCGCCTTTTCTTTTCTGTTGAACACTGTTCAAGAGGCTTGCTTTACCCGCTAGAGAGAGAAGCTACTTTGTCGATGATAATACTAGTGTGAAGACTGCGAGACGAGGGGTTCGGGTGTGGGCCATCTCACTTGAGTTGGGACGTACCGGCGACGTACGGTAGGCTGGGATATAGGCTACCGGTTTGCCTCTCATAGTGAGGGACGGAATGGTAACCATGGCCACCCCTTGCCGGGCTGGTGTTGCGAAAAAGGGATGGCCCTGCCCAAAACGTCCTGCACGCAATACTGGTTGAATCGCAAAGCGGACGAGGTTATTCTCGCAGCATCATCTGGAGAAAGATGGCAAAAGGGCCTGAAGTACGACACAACAAACAAAAAGCATGTTATTAAGTCAAAGGTTGCTGGGTGTTAACCGCTTGTACTGCGTTGTCCCCCGCAACTAGGTATTCCTCCTCCGTGGCGATGGTGAAGACCCTGCCAGGTAGCTCGACTAATGACAACACACACGGGCTGTTGATACTCTTCGGGGGAAAGGACGATTGGCGGAGATTGGATGACCTTTGGAGACTTAACCTTCGCTCCGTCCACGTGACTACGTCCGCGACGGCCTCGAGCAGCAACGGCCTGCAGGCCACGCCAAGGCCGCACACGCACGGCAGCTGGTCCCTGGCTGAGCTGGGAAGGGACGCTCGCTGTGCGCATGCCCTGGTTGCAGGCACCGCAAACGACACGTGGCATTCTTCGTGCGGAGACGGGGCCAATTGGGGGGCGAGCGGGGAGGACGGCTGCACGATGGCCGCGGTGTTGGAGGCGGCATGGTGTCTCGGAGAGTATCAGAGCGTCTGATCAGCTTGTCGGAGAGGCACAAATTTTCAGCACAATGGGTTAATTATACCCAGCGAGTGCTACCTAATCTTGCTCGGCGAATCATCCGGGCCGTTATCTTGTCTTTCAGTCTTCCATCGTTGAATGATCCAAACTTTTATTGGTACAACGACTTGTTAATGAAAGCCAAGAAATAAAACGTAAACATGGCAGTTGTGAAAATAAGTCATCACAGTAGCTATTTCTGTCCATATCTGGCTAACAAGACAGTATCATTTTCTTTTAAGGCATGTACTCAGACCTTTCTCAAAATGTTTCACGCCGAAACGAACATCAGTGCCCCGACAGTAATGCTACATGTTAACCACCCCACACCACCATACTCCCACACCCCAATACCCCAAATATCCCCAAATACTTTCATTGCGAGTCAAGACCAAGTACAGACGTACTGTTCCCCACGCATTTTGCACCACCCCTCCATTTCCACATACTTATTTCTAACTGCATATCATCGATCGGGGGTCACCTTAAAGAAATCCTATAGGGTACTAGCCTTTAGAAAAAAAACAAAATATATATATATATATATCACGATAAGGGTTCACCCGTCCTTCTGAAGTCACGAAGGCGCTTTCCACTCTTTGGCATGAAGTGTTCAACAAACTGTTTCCGCCGAGATTCGAACTCCGCCCCCTTACCACTCCATGGTCTTTGTGGATACCATTTTCGTACTACCGGGATGGTACCACCGGGGTGACCCGCTACTTCCAAACACAGAACATGAACTCTTCAACAAAACCTCCAACACACAAGCCAATGCAATCAATCCCCTTCCGGTACAAACAGCTAAGTCGTTGATAAATATGTGGTAAACGTAGTCCGCGTAAATAGACTAGCCCCAATACGGAACAATGCCGTATGCCTTGCGCAATGGCCGCATTGCTTTGCGCAATGCTACTCGTAAAAACGTTCCGTTCACCTGAAACCATTCTCGCCATTTTTACAGTGAATGGAGCGCGAAACCGTAAACCAATGGCACCATAGAGGATACCTTTTTCAAAGGAATACCCCTACCTCCTACCCAACGCCGAGGATACCCTACCGCTTCGCCCGTGGGCTCGTTCGTAGTGAGCGCTGGTTCTATACCCCGGCACCTAAAGTCCCGATGTGAAAGTGAGTATTTTTTACAACAAAATGAACCATTCAAGGATAGCGAGCTTTGTGGCGTGAACGACACATATTGAAATAAAAAACGAACCTCAGCAAGGTCATTTCCCAGAGACATCCCCCCAAGTGTGTGGAACCCCAAAATCGATGTTTTTAAAAGTTCACCGACAAACACCGAGTGCTTCGGCCACACATTCGGTGCCTGCCAAGAACCGAGCCACAGCGTAGGTAAAGTCTGTGGCATACGCTCAGGTGGACATGACGCGGTTCTTACGTGCACGTAGTTCTACTGAAACAAAGAGGAGAGTATCCCGAGCTCCGCCCACCGGAGAAGTGTAACTTTCAAAAAACGGTTACAAAACATTGGCTACCTGGAGGTACGCACGCGACGAGTTCCGCTGGGCAGCAACGGCCGATAAACGTGCCAACATTACATCACAGAAATTGGGCTGGCAGACCCAACCCATCATTCATATTTCCGGCGGTGAATTCGCTGCAACACGTTGTACACACACGCCTACCCACATAGAACGGCGTAGCCCCCTTACCGGGCGCGATCAATCTTCCACATCGCACACGCATCCGAACGTCCAGTTCCTCAACTGTTCTTTCTACTAAGCATGCCCTGTCGGCAGTCCAACCTACTGATACCTGAGAGCGGAGATGCTCAACAGCAGCCAGGAGCACCCGCAGTCAAGACTCACGCCTACCGCGGCACACTCCGCGGTGGCTGCAATAGACGCCATTGCTAGGCGCACATGTAGTCGAGGAATGCCGAGACACCCTGGGCAGCGCACAACTCCTGTTCGTCGACAATGTCGAGCTCGATCTCCTCTTTCTTATCGTTGAGCTCCTGAGCGCACGGCAGTGCCACGTGGTACGGAAGTTTGCAAGCGGGGCAGCAAGAGCGAGTTTTTCTTCCTGGTTGAAGACCGGTCTCATGGCCCTTTCTGGCATAAGACACACCTGCGCCCACTGGGTACGCAGTGGAATCGTGACACGGCACAGAGCGTCTCGCCCATAGTCGAAAATACGTCAAGTCACAACAACCTTTTGTCGCTGTACGCGCGCACCTTCCTCAGCCTGGCGCAGGCCTCCTGCTCCCGCTTGACGTACGGCCCCGTCCATATACACCCCGCCCCCGGCGAGGACACCGAAATGTACGCCAGTGGCACCACGTGGCATGCCATCCACAGGCTGCGGTGCCACAGCGACGCCTCCATCTGCTCGACCTCCTCTCGCAAGGTACGCAGGCGAGAAGCCGGATCGGCCAGCTTGGCCGCGAAAGATCTGAGCTCGGCGAACGTTCGAGGAGAGGCAAGGGGGTCTAACCGGGCGCGTTCCGACCGGCCAACGAACCGGCGGATCTCGTCCACCTGCTTGAACGATTCGCTCCCATACCCGTCGTTGAGCAACACCAGCGGCATGTTCAGGCCGCTGTCTTCCAGCACGCCCTCAACGAACTGGGCGCCTGCATGCCTTTTGGTACAAGGGCGGACAGTCGTAGGGTATAGAACAAACAGGGCAAGTAAGTGCCCGGTGAGGATGGTCAGCCACATGAGGAGTTGGCCCGGGGGCAAAATATACTCGACGGACTCGACGGCTGCTAGCACACACCAGTGAACACCTCCGCAATTTGGGGGAAAGCGAAGGACCCGGAATTCTGGAGCCCCCGCCATCCATAGCTCTCATTGTCATGTGAACACAGCTAAGTAGAGCTTCTCGCCCCGGTCCGAGGCATCGTCGGGCTATGCTGGGTGCTTCGCACTTGGCTTCGGTGAGGATAGCAAAGCAATCGAGGTCGCTCTTCATCGAAGGCAAGCGTTTTGCGTGAGAGTGTTATATCATGAGTGCTGCAGAGGGGTTCCTACGCCATCTTCACCTTCTCTCCTCCTCCGTTCGCTTGTGGCGCCTGCTTAGCGCCGCCTGCCGGCACACAATCAGCTTGGAGCAGGGCAGGTGGTTAAGCTGCCTCAGGAGGACGGCGTAGTGGCGGAACTCCGTCGGGCTCACTTCCTCCTGCTGGACCAAGAATAGCAGGGTGCTGAGGCTGCCTTCCCTTTTCAGCGCCTCAACCAAGGCATCGAAGTTCTTCGAAGTGGTCTTGGGGTCGTGGCCGGGAAAACCAGGGGTGTCAATCACGACCAGGTTGGCCCACTCTACTCTTTGGGTCTCGGTCGTGGACCCGTACGTGCCATCCCCTTCTTCGAAGGCGTCCCACGTGGGGTGATTCAACAGTTTGTTGGCGAGGTTCGATTTGCCGGCTCGAGGCATCCCGATCACCATAACCACCTTCGGTGCCTCTTGTCGGCGGCGACCGTTCGAACCGGCGCCGGCGCTCTGATGCTCAACGTCCAGCCGTGCACTCAGAAGCCCTTCTCCTGGTCAGTGTTAGAGCAGATGAAAAAAAAAGGAACTCGGGTTGGGCCGTGTGGTAGTAGACCTGCCAGTCGAAACTGTGCAGACAACACAAGGTCATTGAACAAATCTCCTTACAAAATCTCGTGTAGTGTAGCAGCTTCTACCCGTCAAAGGACCGCACGGGTGGAGCATTAGAGAGCCGACGGAGCACTTGTCCAGACCGGCCGTATGCCTCACACGCAATAGTGTACGTCGACGACACCCCCAGACACGTTGGCTAGAGATTTCGGTGACGAGCCGCGAAACCTGATACTGTTGTTGTAAAAACAGTAGTAGACCCTGATGCTGGGCTCTTTCTCGGCACCTTCACGAGGGTCCTTGATGCACAGAGCAATCTCGAAGATACTGTTGTCCCTCTGCTTATGAAGGATACAGCAGGCAACAGCAGTGAGTACGTTTCTCGTGGGCCCGCTCTCAATGCGTGGCCTTTGAAGCCCCTCACGCGATGCCTAGCGACAGCTTCGCGCCCACAACACCGATACCTCACTTGTTTTCGCAATACGTTTACTGAAAGCATCTCTACAATGCGCAAGGACATGTAAATAGATATACAGTACTAGAGCGGAAGAGGAAATTTCGGCTTTCGTAGAATGATCCTCTGCGCTTACACGACTATCATCTTGAAACAGGTGTCATATGGATTCGTGTGTCACACATTCTCTTGTGGGAGGATAAAAGACTGAACAACGCGTGCCCTAGTGTTTGAGCGTTATCTGATCATGAATGTTTTCGAGCAAACGAAGGGGAAAGTGAGTGCGTACATACATAACGTAAATCAACACTCTGGTGGTGCGCTTCAACAACCTGTCGAATCGACCTCACCTGGCCCGTCCAGGAAGTCGGTCTCAAGAATGCATGGACTACTGAAGAACTGGTCTAACGTGTTTCCTCTCTGGTGCTTGAGTAGACCGCAAAGAAAGAGCGGTTCAAATGGAGAGGTGCAGAAACATGACGCCGCCTACGTACACGACAGAATGTTTCGCACGCCAGCACGGAATGGGATACCCAACTGAGTTGCCACCACTTCGTGCGCTTCAAAATATCCGGACGCAATGCCCTCCTCGCCAGCACGTTCACCGTGCCTCGACCGCAGTCCATGGAGAAATTCCTCCCCCGGCCGACGTACAAGTAGTCTACCATCACCACCACCCGTATGTACCATGATCATCGTATCTTGCATGGATGAAACATACAGTAGACTAGTCCACCGTCCGCATAACCGTTTTTTTTTTTTTTCTCGCCGAAAACACAAACAGAAACTACTGATGTAAAACTAGCTGCACAGCAGTACATGCACCATGCTCCCGCGTGTTGTCGAGCCTCAAATACGCAGACCAAGGTCGATCCCGATGTGGTTCGATCTAGAAAATCATGAGCTCAAACACGAATATCGTTTGAGTACAATACACAGGGCCTGTGTTATCACGACAAGGAAGGGCCATGTTCGCGTTTGGTTTGTTTATGCTTCATGAGCGGTACATGGTGTGGCCACGCTTTATAGGAATGTAAACGGCGCGGACCTTCCGTCCTGTTGCACCGCCATGTGTCGCAGATCCGTTGATATTGATACGCAGATCAAACTCTTTGTATTATTCTATGTACATAGTAGGATTCGCTATCTATTTATTGCACATTTTTCTGCCAGCCCCAAGAGTTTCGTCCCCTTCAAAATACACCTCGGAGTTACTGCTGTAATCTCATATATCACTCGGCATACGTACGTACATGCGGGCGGTGATTGTTGTTGTACGATGGTACCAATGAGACGTGTTTGTCAGGAGGCAATGCGCCGAATATTCGGCAGAGTGGATATCTGCAAGTACTGCAAAGCATATCTGCTATCTTCCGCAACTTCGACGACAACGCTTAGCTTTTCGGCAGTGCTGGTTTTTGCCCTTGGTCTTGTTCTACAGAATGTACGCTGCGGTGTCGTGTTCGAGCATCGACGAATGGAAGAAACGGACTTGGTATCTACCTCTCTCGGGTACCGAGAAGGGGGGGGGTCGAGTTGCTCACCTCCTGTGGTCATCGTGTTGACAAGGAACCTCGCTGACGAGGAGACAAGCTTCGCGAGAGTGGTGTTCTGCTGTGCACTGCTGCAGGCGCTGTGGTTCTGGTTTGGAGATTGCAGGTTGCAGAGCTATAGCAGTAGTTGCGGACCGCTGGTTCTTGTCAATGACGTGTTCCGCTTATCTTCCTACATTGAAAATCGGGGTGCTCGGAAGTAAATGCACCGACGGACGTTGGCCACTGGTACGTGCGTATTTCGCCTTCGAGACTCGTCGGCAGATTGTCGTCTTGTCGAGGTGGCTGCCACTGTCCTCGCATTGCCCCCCGGCCGTCCCGTGTGGGTGTGGGTCATTTGCTGCTGTCCGGCAGCTGGTGTCGGTCATCAGGTGAGTGAGCAGGTGATCAGCTTGATCTGATCAGGTGATCAGGTGATCAAAAAATATTTCTGACATTCCCGCCGACAGTCCCGCGGAGAAAAAATATTCCACATTGCTTCCTCCTCGCTGATTTTATTTGATTGCTGCCAACCGCCTACAAGACAGAGGCTGAGAATATCAGGCCGCTGCCTGCGATGAAAGACGCAAAGCAGACATGTTCCCCGTTCGCGAGAGTACTAGACATGCCGCAATTACCACGTTCTGCACCCTGCACGCGCACACTTGCGGCAATTGCCCTGCCAACGGCCAACAAGCCAGGAACCCACGACGCGTGTGGTCGCGTGGCCGATCGTAGTAACGGGATGTACCCCTGAACGTCCTAGATAAACTTACGCGCACGCGACGGGTTTCCTCGGTGGTTTCGTTGACGCCAGCGATGGCGCGCTGCGTCGGCTTAGCTCTGGCCACGGTGTGTCCTTTTTGCAACCTTGCGATACATACAGCAGTAGTCCTGTTGACGCTGGGGCCGATGTAGAAATATCGCGACCGACTTTTCCCACAAGGTGTTCGCGGCATAACAGACGAGACGCGACCTCTGTGCGAACCGAAATACCGAAGACATCATCCATGCAAGCGTCGTTGCTCAGGTTGATTAAGTCCGCCTCACAAGCTGCTCTTGGGGCTCAACATCTAACACTCAAATGTCGCACACCTGAAAAATTGATGCTATTTAATACGAGAGCCCAAGTCGGGGACTACCTAGACTAACGGGGTGGGACATGTGCCACCGGACCCCAGTGCACCACGACCAGGGACGAAACGTCGACCGGAATGTATGCATAGAAAGGGAGATTAATGCAACAAAAATTCTCGTCCGGCGTAAACGTGCATCTCTATTTGTATGAGACAAAATGTCCCCCGTCTAAGATCGACTACATGATCATCGATCTTTTCGCCGAACATCATACGAAAACAACACAAGAAATACTGTGGTGCACAACTCCAAGACCCCCCATCCCTCGCTGTTTTCATGATCTCATGCTCCCCGTTGATTCGACACAGCCCACGTCATCGCCATTGGTCGATCGCTGAATCCCACTATGTACCTTTCGTGCTCCCCGCCCCCATGCCGCCCGCTTCGGCCTGATTGCGTCCAACAACGGCAGTAGTAGTAGCGGTTGGCCTCTGTTCGTGGCTGGTCCATGCCAACGCCGCCGTCACGACGGCCGTGCTTGCCTTTGCCGCGATGACCTGCCCGCGGGTGCCGCCAGCGCTTCGTTTTTCGAGCAACATGCCGGCGTGATCCTCCCTTCGGCCGCTGTTGTGACTCCCGCCGTCGCCGTGGGAACTGGGGCGGGCAGCCTGAAGACACCGGGCGTGGGGCCCCACCGCAGAAGGCTCGGCAGCGGGAACAACACCGAACGGCAGCACCCCACTTGTCGGCGATTGCGGCTCTGTGCTGCTGGAGTGTTGGGTGTGCGGTGCGAGGGTGATCCCCGAGACTGGCGGTAGCGGCGGCGGCGGCGGCGGCGGCGGCCACACCATACCATAGCGGCGACCTTTGCCTTGCTTCAGAGGTTGGTGTTGTTGGTGCTGCCGGCGATGCTGTTGCTCGTGCAGGTACACATGGCGACTGCCGCAGCCTTGCTGGGGCCTGGGACGGGTAACAACACCAAACCCTTGCTCCGCACCGCCGCTGCTACTACTACCGCCGCTGCTGACAACCAACCCAGCTCCGGCGAGAATTTCCGCCATCGGAGGAGCACGAAGCACCACGGGTTGCGACAACGCCTCCGCTTCTTTCCCTTCTCCTTGCTCTTCACCGCCCCCCTGCCGCCCCTTCCCAACCCCTGGACGACACGCACCATCAAAGGTCCTCCCCTCGAAGGCGGGAGCAGCACAACTCACTCCGTACCCCGAAGAAGACTCGCTTCCCTTGGCCCGGGCAACAACACCAGCGCCGCTGCCGCCGGCCGCCGCCGCCGCCGCCGCCGCCGCCGGCTCCGCATCGGGTGCCACCACCTCCTGCGCGTCGTCACCAACAAGCGCAGCACAACACCTCCCCGCAGGCGGTGCCTCGCTTCCCATGACTCGGGCAACAACGCCGGTACGGCGGCAGCAGCGTTCCGCCGCCGCCGCAACTGTCGGTGCCTCTCTCGGGGGACTAGGGGGCGGCGGCGGGGGGGGGGGGAAAGGGATTCCCAGACCGGCGAACTCTCGCGCCACCGACTCGACGTACCTCGCCACCGACCCCGCCGCCCGGGCACGCTTAGCCCCCGGGCGGTCATCACCGCCACCGCCGTGGCGGGACGACCCCTTGTCCCGGAGGCGCTTGGAAGCCAAGCCGGCTGACTCTGCGGCCGCCTTTGTTCCGACGACGGCCGGGGGACGGCCGCCGGCTACGTGATGATGGTCGTGGCCGCCACCGCCGCCGGCCGAGCCGCTGGCGTCGGAAAAATTCGGCGCGGGTGGACCCACCGAACGATCGCCACCAGCTGGAGAGGCGGCCGCATTGCCGGCTGCAGGAGGCAATCTCCCGGGGGAGACGAATCTGCGCCCGTCCGCACCCTCTTCTTCGCCCGTGTTGCTGCTGGTTTCTTTTGGCGGCGGCGGCTGCTGCTGCTGCTGCTGCTGCTGCTGCTGTATCGGGTTCTGGCTGCTGCTGCTGCTGCTGCTGTTGGCGGTCCTGCGGGGGGTTGCTCGGCGCACGGCGGCTTCGATGGCCACGTTAGTCGACCACCTGACGACCCACGGACGAGCACGCACGGCAAAGAGGTAAGTAGATGGGCAGGCAGGGCAGGGCGCCTGGTCGGAACGGGGTTGTATCTTGTGGACGGCATCTCTGTATTGGTGAGTGGTTGCACGGCAGCCTCGATGGGCACCGAACGGACATGAGCCATTCGGGCGAAATACAAGCAGGCGGAACCCGTCACGTCCCGACTTGACACACGCACAAATAATTGGGATGAAACCTGGATCAGGGTGTTCTGTGAGTATGCTGGAGAACTCTGATATCGCCCTTCGCGCGGAGCCATGATGCACGCCGCCCCGCGTCTACCCTCATTCCCGACGTTCACCGGTCGCATGCGCCAACAGACGGATATCGCCAGGACGGACAAGCACCGCCAGCACAACAATGCAAGGCATTTTTTTTACGTACGTTCTACGCGCACCATAGCTCGATGCGCGAAACAGAAAAAAATCCCCCCCGACGTTGATCGTCCAGGTGGAACATTTGACCAAAAGTGAACCTTCTTCCCGAAACAACGAAGTGGTCCGGAAAGTCGGAGACGTAGAACAAGATCCAACCCGACTCCCTTTATCTGCACCTGTGCTTGTAAGGGCCGTGCTTCTCCGGGTGCGCCTCGCAGCACACCAGGCACCGGTACTGCTGCAGCTCACCCGCCGTCTGCGCTGTTAAACCCACACTGCCCCGAGAGGCGGCATAGGTTTACGTTTTGGAGATGACAAGACCCGGACGGCCGGCAAGTTTTGGAGAAAGGTGTTGAGGAGGGAACAAAGCGAGAGTGGGGGGTGGAGTCGGTTAGAGGGCAACGCGTGCGTGAGGGACGGGGGGAGGGGAGAAGTCGGGGAAAAAAACTGCAACTACACACTTCATCGAGTCGAAAGGGATCGCTCAAAATCACCGTACGTGTGCAAGGAGAACAAAGATAGAGGTGGGTGGTGTTCACCACAAAGATGCAACTGCCGCTAGACAACCACAACAATAGAGGGGAGGGGTATGTTGGGGGCAAAGAAAATGAAACTGCCGCAACAAAAACAACCGACGTCTCTTACCAGGACGCATGGTACCACTCCCCGCACAGGTCGCACTCCACCATCACGCCGCCGTCGTCCCCCCCCCTGCAGATGCAGTACACATCCACGTCGCCCCCCTGCTCCTCTTGTACAACTGTCGCGCTCTGTGCACCCACCGCCGGCTCGCCTGGGGCTGGTGACCACGAATCGACTGCCGCCGCCATCGGCGCTGCCGCTGCTACATGTACCCCTGCCGCCACGTCAGCGGGCGCGTCGTTTTCTCTGCGCCAGGACAGCTCCGAAGCCAAAGCTCGAGCATAGCCCCACGACGGCTCGATGGCCGCCCATCTTGTGGCCTCTCGGAGCGCCGGCAGATTGTTCCTCGCCTCGCGAAACGGCTTGGCTTCCGACCTCACCACCGCCTGCCCGCCCCGCCGTGTTTGCAACGGTTTCGCCAGACACAAGACAAACCGGTTTTGTTGCGCGACGGAGAGGGGGACCATTCTACACAAAAAACAAACACACAAATCCCAGCCAGACCAACTTGTTGTTTCTAGTGGGGAAGGCCCCAGAAAAAGAGTCAACGAAAACAACCGCGATGAGTGCGTGGACAGAAACCAGGAAATTTTGCTTGGTCCAGAATGTGGACGATATGCATAAAAACAATCGAGAAAAAGAAAAAAATTGTTCCCCTCGAACCGAAATACAAGTGTACGAAACAATCCGGCACACTCTCCAGGAACTAGATAAGAACATGTCGCTCAGATGCAACCTCAACACCGTTTTCCCTCCACCCTCGCTCACCTGAAGGATGTCACCCACGGCATCGAACAAGCAGTTGTACAATCGCACCCCCGTCCCCAGAGGCTCCGAGCTAGGCCTCTCGCCCGCCAGAGGCAAGGAAGACGTAGCCGCCGCCGCCGCCGATTCGGAGGAGGCCGCACTGGACAGCGAAGATGACGACGAGGACACCACACCACTGCTGGTAGACGGCGGTTCTGTGTTCGATACCCCCCCCTTCCCACCGCCGCCGCCACCTCCACCGCCGGTGGCACCGGCGGAATTTCTCCGGCCTTTGGACTTGGTTCGTGACAGCCCGAGCGTGCTGGGAGCACCAGCAAGCGTGGGCGCGTGTGGCATGGAGGGGGGGGGGGCGTGGGGAAAAGGGACAATTTGATCGGTTAAGGATTGCGTCGAGCCTATTGTAGTGACGTGCGGTTGGGGTAGGTCGAGTCGGCCAGCTGCCGCAGCTGCCGCCGCTGCAGCAGCTGCAGGGCTGTCCCCGTGACTCTATACGCTCGATCAAGACGGGCCTGGCGACGTCACACGGGCCTAAAAAAAAACAACGCAAAACAGGCAAGTGGCACACCGAAACATTGCCAAAAAAAAGTCAAGAAAGAGCCCAGGAGACAAAAAAAAAAAAAATGTCCGGTAGTGTGCACGACATCGCAGTCTGCGAGGAAACGCTATTAGCGTAACGGGTGAATTGATTGTCCCTACCGGCCTTCCGTGAGGCAAGCTTCGAGGGTTTCGAAGGTGGGCCGCAGTCTCGTGGTGCTGTCTTGAGACAGGCCATTCGATCGCAGGGCCTCTTGGTCTTCCGGGGACAGGGTTTCCTCCAGCCCTGGCAGAGTGGGAGGGAGAGGCAGAGAGAGGCGGTGGAAAACGAGGAGGGGGGGGGGGGGGGGGGGGGGGGCCAAAAAAAAAAAAAGGGGAAAATTTTGGGCCCTGGGTTTTTTAAACCCCCGGGGGGGGGCCGGGGCTTTTTTTCCTTTCCCAAAACCTTTCGAAGGGGAAAACGGGGGGGGTTTCCCCCCCCAGGGGTTTAAAACCCCCCTTTGGGAAAAAAACCCCCGAAACCCCGGGGGGGGGGGGAAAAAAACCCCCCCCTTTTCCCCCCAAAAACTTTACGGCCCGGGGGGGGGGGAAACCCCCCCCGGGGGACCCTGAACCCCCCCCTTAAAAATTTTCCCCCCGGGTTTGGCCCCCCGAAAAAAAAAAGAGGGCGCCAAAACTC